GCGCCCATCGCGGTGGGCGTCTCTTTCTGTTGTGGGAGTCAGATTAAAAACGAAGCCTGAACGTAATTTCTCTGGCCCTGGCTGGTATGTGTTTGTTGTGTAGGTTTGTGAAGGTGATTGCGTAATCCGTGGTGTGAGGCGGCTGCTGCCATTTTATCCGCAGGTGGAGTTGCGGGGCGATCCTCCGGGTTAGGTTTTTGTATATTTTGTGTGTGGGTTCGTGTAGCTAAGGAAGGTGCAGATAAAGAACAACCTGGCGTACCAGTATCTTATCAGCAAAAGAAGAGAATAATCAAATCAACCAGAAGGCCACCAAAACTGGCACAAGACGATTACCATTTTATAGACAGACCAGAGCAATTAATTATTATTCTACGCCTTAGAACAGGACACAGTCGACTTCGCAGCCACATGTACACAACATTTTTAGTCGGCGAGTCAGCTATGTACACATGTGGACTGACACCTGAAACAACAGATCATGTCCTCCAAAACTGTCCCAAATATATCATGGCAAAACTTTTGGCTTAGAGAAACAGCGGTGCAAGTCAAACTTTACGGGTCACTGAATGAATTACAAAAGACAGTGGAGTGCATACTAGAGACAACATTGCAGATATAGATAATCCATTTCAAGCGAATGAAAAAAAAAAGTGTGAACTTTGTTCCAAAAGGGAGATAACCTGCTAATGTATCAATACACTTTTCTATAGAGCTGTCAACTTGCTTTTCCAAATTAGTTACGTAATCGAAACTTTATTTTAAATCCGTCTAACTTGAACTTTTGAAAATATGTAAAGATTCAGTTAAATACAAATCAAAACAGGAGGCAGTCTTGAATTTTCGAGTATATTGTAGAAGAGTTTCACCATCGTTTGAACCAAAAACAAAAATATTTAACTTTCAATGAATGAATTATATTTGCTGCTTTGAAGAGACTTTATCGAGGGGAGGATGTGGTTAGCCCGGCAAGCTGCCACAACCTCTTAATTTCCTAAGTGATATAGACATGGGGCGGATGTCCAGGAGAGGTGTAAATTGATCTGTGTATTATTAAGTTATGTCGTATCTCTAAGTGAACATTCTACCTATATCCGCTTATTGTTATTAAAAGCACTTATACGAGAAAATCACCAAATAATACCAGACCTCAGCAGTATAGCCATCAGTACCTGCCCAAGTCAATCGACCGCCGGTCCTTATTAGGATAGGCAATCTACTTTCCCCGGAAACAACAAACAGCCAAGGAATACCACAATAAATCGATCCAACATCCAATCATCTTGAGCGCAGCACAGGGCCAGCCAGATTACAAAAACAACAGCAAGAGCGGAAACCACAACAAACAGAAAGTGACAATATTGAACACAATCCAGAATCAAATAAGATCGCGACCAGAAAACGTCACCACAAATATAGCTGAAAGGAAAGTGAGCAGAAATGTGAACGGACCTAGCTGAAAGTGGTCAAAGAAAGAGAATTTGAATTCCCACTTTCGGTGTCAAGACAGATACACGATTCTGGATTTAGCTCTTCTGGTCGCCACAACCACAAACACTTTATTTATACTGTCGAAGAGGCCCTTCAATGCTATCTTTCCATATTTATTCTGGCCCACTTTGGGGCTCTACACCCATCTTTTGGTACATCCATTGTATGGTCTAATATCTCGAGGTTTTCTACCTGATGGGGCCAATAATCCTCTCGGCATTGTTTGTTTTTTAATGTTGAGTGTATCACACATACACTTGCTCGAGAACACTCATAGTGACGCACATATATATGTATATACACATTATATATATATATATATATAAACACACACACACTCACAAAACACACATGCTTGGTAACTTATAACGAATGTCGGGGGGGGGGGGGGGGTGTGTGAATGTCAACATCAGAATGAAAGTACAACGAATAAAAAAAAGGGGGTGGGGGAGGAGCCCAGAAGAAGGAGGAAATGTCTGCATACAAATACGACAGATCTGTACAACGGACATGCACGCAGCTCATATTTTTACAGCAGATGAACACGAAGATCTAGGTCTCCCACATGAGAAACTAGAGCCATTAACTGTTCGGCCAACCGCTTTACTATCTGACGGATGTATTGTTTGTGTCCGCTTTACTATCGTTGAGAAACGGAAAGTAGCTAACCGGGTCTTTTTGCTGGTAATATGCAGTTCCGTCATGTGTTTTAAGGCAGTATTTTTGTTAGCACTGTTGTAAACGACACTTACTAGGGATTTGAACTCTAGGCGATGGGGCAGGCAGGTGAGAGCCTAGTAGTTACGTTTTCATCGATCAATGATAATAATAATAATATTAACGATAATAATAGTGTACTGAATGATAAATCAATATTAAATGCCACTCTGGTCTCAAAACTCAGTGAAGGGAAAACCCCAACTGCACCCCACCCGGTAGAGAATGGCAAACACTGCGGTGTGGCCAACGCAGCTATGAGGACCGAGTATTCGCTGGTATAAGTGGACACCTCTGGGATGCCCTCTGCTGTTAGCAGGAGCATCACAGAGCAGGGCACTCACTTGCCATAGCAATCGAAAAGGTTGCTGAAGGCTGAGGACGTAGTCTAAAGCCACGTGGATGTGGAAGGCAGCGGGAAACTACCACATTGCTATCCCAAGCAACTCATCATGGAAGCCAAAAATCAAACTCAAAGACAGATCACAAACACAAACTGGGGAAGAGAACGATAGCATAGCAAGTAAGTGTAATTGTGATGACGGCCTTAAGCCCGACTGTACTACAACAGAAAACTCTGTCACCGCTCTAAAGAAAACTGTAAAGTTAGGAACATGGAATGTTAGGAGCATGTATCAGGGAAAACTTAGCATCGCTGGCATAGAACTAGAAAAAAAAAATAGATATACTAGGAATTTCTGAATGTAACGGACGGGTCAAGGCAATTTTGTGACTCAAACAGGGAATATATTTGTTTATTCAGGATAGGAAAAGAGTGGTATGAGCGGGGTGGGCTTTCTGATGACAAAAAAAAGTTTCTTCATCAGTTCTTGGATATAATCCAACCAGCGACCGAATTCTAACTGTCAGACTTAGGTCAAGGAAAAGAAACATCACAATTATTCAAGTTTATGCCCCAACATCTGCATCAGAGGAAGATCAAATTCAAAATTGTTATTTAACACTTTAGAAGGGACGTTAGAAAGGGGCATTATTCTTTTCGATTTCCAAAAGCCAAGGAACTTACTTTTACGTGCACAACAATACACACGGGTGTACGATCTTTCTACCCAGATAGACAAGGGGAAATTACTAAAATCCACCTCAAAAAAATTCCAGCCTTCACCGAGACCTCCAGTACTCGAACATAAGACATATCGCCTTTTCCGTGGTAACCTGACATTCGTCATTTTCTGAAATTGCAGTTCTCAATACAAATTACCAAGAGCATAGACGAAAAGCATTCCAGGTGACGTTCACGGCTCACAGAGTGAGAACATACGCTAAACTAGGCAGCTAGGCGATAGGGCACGATTTTTCCTTTGTTTCGTTTGTTGTCTGATCTGGTTTCCCTGTAGGGCTTGGAACCCGAACCTCCCATAAGATTGCTGACGAGAACAGAGCATCCACACTTTGAAAGACTGCTTCAGCAGACAATGAGCAGAGGAGCGCACGGTTTTCAACACCCAGGGGAAAAGACTAATGGACTGCAATCATGTTACACTTGCATCATCAGTAAGGTAACTATTTTCTTTGCGACTGAGGAAGGAGACAAGGCAGATGCGATAATGCACGGAGTGCAATGATAGAACTTCTTGAAAAATTTATTTCTGCATCGTGTCCACCACGTAGGTTTCAGCAAAAAAAGGCTAAGAAACATTCAAAATCGTGTATGGCGCATCATTGCTCTATCAAATGTTGAAATATGAATCAATATCATAGCACTCGGGACGATCCCATAAACGCTTCTTCCATATCTTCAGCAGCAAGCGAAGAGTTTAAATTCTGATGGTGCCATCAACTGACTGTAACCCATTCTCGCCTTTCGCTTGAATATTGAGCGTTGGCAAGATTCCGTGCAACTTCCTCAGCGCCATTCTACTCAGAGAGTAATGATCCACTTGTGCCTCTGCACTGTTCACTCGCTCCGAAAGGGCATTAACAATATCTAGCTTGTCATACATCAATTCAGTATCAGGTGGGACAGAACCGGCCAGTATATCTGCCTGCTTGTTTCCCAACACACTAGCGAGTACTAGAAAAAGTGTCCAAAGGTAGCTAACTACTTGTGACCTCTGAAGTTACGTGTGCCACTCTGCTGCACGGAGCATGCCTGTCTCCACACATTTCTCCACATACTCTGTGAGACAGTTACAATTACGACATGTATGTACTGTTGGTTCTAAATCCAGCTCCATTAGGACCCCCAGAGAAGTGACGTTGACAGAAGATAATACTAGGTGCATGATGGTCTTGAGACATGGTGTCCGCCTCGATTGCTAGAGGTCCCAGGTTCAAGCCCCAGTAAGGGCTGGGATTTTTTCACGTGGACTTCTAGTAATTTCCCCTGGTCTCTAGGTAGTAAGACAGGACGCCCGTGTGTATTGTTGCGCACGTAAAAAATCCCTCGAAAAGAGTTGCCTAAAAGCGCTGCCTGACAAAATTAGGAGTTGAAAGTATACCCAAAGTATTTCAGGATCCTCGCCGGTGCAACAGACTTCGTGCACTGCGTGAGGTTTTCAGACTCAGGCTTGAGTTAGAAGAAGAACGGGGTACTTATGGGTTACACCCGTGTGCCATCCAGTTTGTTCGTTAAAAAAAAAAAGTTATAGTCGCCCCATGTGCCATGATGTTGATACGTTTAATAAACATAAACAAGAAGGCAGTGCATAACGTGTATTTAGAATACAAGATTTCGCTGTGAACAACTACCGTACCGTTAGTCACAGGATGGAAGTTGGCCTAGGCGACGGTTTAAATCGACAACAGGACAGGACCTGTCGCAGTTGATCATGGAGTTAGATGTTGGCGACAAAACGTCAGGAAGGATTTGGCACAGGAAACCAAATATAGCCAAAGAAGATGGGTATGCATGAAATATACAACCCCCCCCCCCCGTTTAAATTTTACTTTTCTATATTTGTTTTGATGGTTTTCTTTGGAGAAACTTAGAAATAGGAAGTTAGAATGAGATCATGAGTCAATGAGTCGTTCGTCTCATTTGTTTACATTGGTGAACTTAACTGTCGAAAAACTTTCTTTGAGTTTCAGTTTTACTTAACCGAACCGTTTGGAGAGGAGCCTTATTTCGAGTTTCAGTGCCAAGAAGACGGAGCCTTTAGAAGGGGATTTTGTTAATTTGCACACACAGAATTATAAAAAAAAGGGTGCTCTCCTCCGAACTTCTACCCCCTCATCATGGCGGCCAAACAAATATCCTTACAGGGCTCAGTCCTGTTAAAAATATGCGAACTTCCGGCGACGAACGAATCGCGGCAAAACTAGGATAGGCTCCGTATAGCGAAACAAATGCTTTAATAGGGTCTCAGCGATATGTTAATTGCCGAACTGTTGCAGTGACTATGCCTCACCGCCGACCATATCCCCCAAGGCGCGGATGGGGCTAAACTAGATGGCTGGGATTCACGAGCAGCATCTACCGCATCTCCTGCAACTTCCTCAAATTAATTTGCTCGTGAGTCCCAGGCATCAAGTTTATCCCCCCATCCGCGCCATGCATAGCGGCGGGGGGATACTGTCGGCGGTGAGTGTAACCGCGTTTTGCACATGCCGAAAAGTTTGAGGACAACAACGACACTAATCTGCATCGGCGCACGTGGTCTCCCCGCCATGTCGCTTTTATCGTCTGCAGAAACGCTAGAAAGTGTCAAGGGTCGCTATTATTGTCTGCTACTATCGTCTGCAGTGTTGCGTCTCTTAAAATTGTCAGGTAATCAGAAACAATAAGAAACAGGCCCGCAATTAACATATCGCTGAGACCCTGTTAGAGCATTTGTTTCGCTATACGGAGCCGATCCTAGTTTTTCCGCGATTTGTTAGTCGCCGGAAGTTTGCATATTTTTAATAGGACTGAGCCCTGTAAGGATATTTGTTTGGCTGCCATAATGCCGGGGTAATAGTTCAGAGGAGAGCCAAAAAGGACTATCCTCCGAATAATGGCCCTAAATTATCGAGGCAGAAAATATACCCTAACAGGGCCTCAGTCATGTATCAATTGTGCTTTTCCGTCGTCTTAAATTGCGCACTTCCGCCACCACCGAGAGTATCCCCCACGTCGCTCACGCTGCGTGGATTGGGGCTAAACTAGATCCCTGGGACTCAGAGCAGCAGCTACCACATCTGCTGCAGCTTTCTTCATTTTATATGCTTGTGAGTTTGCACGTTGTGTTGTGGTTTACAACTAGACTGTGGTATCTGCGCCTTTCGCTCGGTCTTGTGGTTAACAGCCAGGTTGCAATAGCGGCGGCAAGATGCTCAATGGTCAATTTACGGGCAGGTAATCTTCTTTCTTTTTGTTCGCCCTTGAAATGGAGGTTGGCATGTTGTATTGTGGTTTACAAATACGCTGCTATATCTGCGGCTTTCCCTCGGTCTTGTGGTTAACAGCTAGGTTGCAAAATCTACGCCTTTCACCCCAACACATCCGATTTCAGCAGTCCTCTTCTTCTTCTTCTTTCATTCGCCTGAAATAAGTTGTCTATATCAGCAATTTTGTCTCTTGTATAAATTTACTGTTGTTGTTAATTCATTTAGTGGTCCATAGAGTTTACATTCCACTGTTGTTCTTTCTGGCCAAAAGGTTTGCCTTAATGTCAGCAGTCCTAATTAGTTGCCTTTTACAACATGCTTTTTAGGTGGCAGTGGATCTATTCTTTTTTTCCCCTCATGTGGCCATAGAGCCCACAAAAAGAGTGACGGGTTATGTCTTGTGTTTGACTTGTCGGTAGTTGGAAGGGCATCATTACGTGGTTATTATTGTTACGGGAGTCGATTATTGGTTGGTTGTTTAGTCCCTGGTTAAACAGATACAGCCTAAAAAATGACTTCTGAAATATATTGAGCTGACTGAGTATCCTCAGAAGAAGAGAAAAGGCATTTAGAGATCTAGATATACTGTTGGTAAGATGATGAAAGATGAAGACTGCAGGTTACATATATATTGCTTCACTAATGTTTGCACCTACTTTTCACTGTTTACATGCAGCAGTTCAAATATTGCCATGTTTTAAATTTTAATTTTGCGAAATATGGTTAGATTTTCTCTTTTGGCACAGTATGAAAGTATAATAGAATGTGCTCACTGCCTTTCCATTGCAACCTGTCATTTGCCCATTCTATCTCTAGACTTAGGAGTCATTTAGCTTCACCCACTCAAACATTTGACTATCTCTGTCCTTATGTCAGTCAGGTCACAGGCATCCGTAAATGTTCTACCCTGTTGTCCAAGTTCCGCCCTTGTGACTACAAGTATGCTGTAATTATATCATCACTAGGTAGGTTCCGTGTATCACATTTATGTGCGAAATTCGCCTGCTAGACCCGCTATCCTGTTTGAACCATGGACTTCAAAGTTGTCGGCTGAGAATGCCTGCTATGTCTCAACTCTAACCCGTGGTAATTAGACACCTGCCTGTCCGCAAGTTCAGATGGTCATGTCTTCTGTCCGTCCGATTGGAAGATTGTATAATTCTTCAAATGTAGATCCATTTCCTGGTCCAGTTAAATTCCACTGAGATAAACTATTGGTTCTTCAGACACTTTGATCGCTGCTAGGAAGATCGCCTGGGTTAGCTGTTCAATTACCTCATTGTGTTTCACATTGCTTATCGTCTCCTTTGCGAATTTGTGTACTTGCATGGATAGTTGCTTATCGGCAAAAGTTGCAAATAAAGTGGCAATACTTGTTTGATAATTTGTGCAGCTACTTGTAATTATGGCAGGCAGATCATTGGCTCCGACACAGATCAGCAATAATATTCTACAAGTTGATCAACTGGCAGCTATAGATGTCAGACCTGATGATTTAATTAGAATAATGAACGATAAACTACAGTGGTTGCAATGGCTTGCTACGCACAAAATAATACGGAACACAGTAGACTGTTTGTTTTGCAACCGTCGTATGTCATGTGTGTCAAGGCTAGAATGTTCGGATAGATTCTCATGGCGATGTTGTCACTGTAATCATTGCAGTGTACGGAAGGGTTTGTTCTTTGCTAATTGTGAACTCCCAACTGAAAAAATTGTGGTGGTAATGTTTTACTGGTTGTTCGAAGTAAAGCTGAAACATGTTTCGTTTTTTGAGAGGTTGACAAACTGTGATAATATAGTCAACTACAATAATTATAGAGTGTTAAACTGGCTGCTGCTTAGCAACCCTCAGTTGGGAGGATTTGATGCTAACGGACAGTCAGTGGTTGTTGAAGTTGACGAGAGCTAGTTTTTCCACAGCAAGTACCATCGTGGTTACTTTCATAGTGGTCAATGGGAAGTTTGGCTAGTTGAACATGGTAGTGGTCGTTGCTGGTTGGAAGTTGTTCATAGGCGAGATGCGACAACATTGGAACGCATCATAAGTGAGCATGTGTTACCAGGAACGACAATTGTCACTGATGACTGGCGAGGCTTACAACAACGTTAGTCAACTAAACAATGGCATCAATGAACATCTCGTTGTTGTTCATGCTATTAATTTTGTTGACCGTGTACACAGAGAAATTTACACCCAAACAATTGAAGTGCTGTGGATGCAAGTCAAAAGGAAACAGCGTTTCCAAGACGGCACTAGTCGTGCATTGTTTAATACATATTTAGCCAAATTTCAGTGGCGCCACAGTCACAAAGAACATGTTTTCGGACAGTATTTATGTTGTGCCACAATTTCAACATATAACTGTCAAATATTATTGGCAGAGTTGCCACTTTTCTTTGACAGAAAGTGTATGGTATTTTTTTTTTCTGTCTTTCCTTCTTTTTGGTCTGTTATTTTATTTTCTCAGTGACCAGACTAGCTGGTGGTACACACTTCATTAATACTGAACATCCTCTTGTGTTTAGATAAGTTGTAGCCAAGTAAATCTTCTCTGCTATGTCGTTTCTACTACACATGGTATTTTAAGAACCACAACCTTAGATATGGAATTGTTGCAATTATAAGGCATCCCTCTCTTTAATATACATCAAATGCATTAGATGTTTCGAGAAACAGACCGACAGTTTTTTCCTTCTCTGAAATCCTGATTTGGCTTCTTCTTGTAATTTAATAATCTGATTAATTATGCTTTGTGTTTTTATATATATATATATATATATATATATATATATATATATATATATATATATATATATATATATATATATATATATATATATATATATATATATATATATATTGTTTTCATCTAAGCAGAATATTAATCTTTGATTGACTAAAGTTTTTAGTATTTTACATAAGTGAGATGCTAGTAAAATTGGCCTGTATGATTCTGCATTGCGATCTTCTTTTCCTGTTTTTAAAACAGGTTCTAAGTACTTGTGCTCACAATATTAAGTAAAATATGTAAACAAAAATTATTGTGCAACTGTGTGTAGCTTATTTATCTTTCTTTTATAAATTCCACTGTGTATAGGGGGTCAAAGGGGGTGGGGGGACACACACGTTTCCACACCGGGTACCACCCGACCATTCAATCAACAATTCAAAAACTATTCATCCCCATGGCGCTTAACGGCAGAAGTGGAAACTAATGATGATGGCCTAAATTATTATTTCACGGCGCTTAACGGCAGAAGTGGAAACTGATGATGATGATCTAAACATTGCTACCCAACGACACAGCACTTCAATGGATTGAAAATTATTCCTTCCCATGGCGCTTCAGTGGATCGAAAACTATTTCTCCCCACGACGCTTAACTTTAAACATTGCGCAGAAGTGGAAACTGATGATGATGGCCTCAATTATTATTTCATGGTGCTTAACGGCAGAAGTGAAAACTGATGATGATGGCCTAAACATTGCTATCCATTGACACAGCGCTTCAGTGGATCGAAAATTATTTCTCCCCATGGCGCTTCAGTGGATCGAAAACTATTTCTTCCCACGGCGCTCAACTTTAAACATTTCACAGAAGTGGAAACTTATGATGATGGCCTCAATTATTATTTCACGGCGCTTAACTTCAGAAGTGAAAATTGATGCAGGACGCTTCAATGGATCAAAAACTATTCCTCGCCTCAGCGCTTAGCTGTAAACATTGCTATCCATTGAACAAAAAAGGCAGAAGTGGAAACTGATGATGAAGGCCTAAATCATTATTGGTACATATTCCACTTATATATTTTAGTTGTTCCTGTTTCATATTTTTTATGACCTCTTGAGGCTCTAAAATGGATGTTTTGGGCAGTAAATAATTTGGGACCTGTGTTCGGAAGAGTGCCAAATTCTTGTGTAGGGAATTGAATGAACACAAGATTTATACTTTAGGCTCTCCTTCGATCTTGGTACCCATATTATGGGGCCAAGCAAATACCACAACAGGGCCTCAGTCGTGTGTTAAATGCCGACTTCCTAGGACGAACACATCATGGCAAAACTAGGATTGACAATTTCATGACACACAACACTGCAGACGATAATACCGACCGTTGACAATTTCGAGCGTTTCTGCAGACGATACTAGCGACCATTGACAATTTCGAGACACGCAACATTACAGACGATATGGAGATGGTGGGGAGACCATGCGCTCTGATGTAGATTAGTGATAGTGTTCTTCTGATTAAACTCACCGCCGAGCATATCCCCCGCGCCGCTACACAGATGGGGATCTAAACTAGATGCCTGGGACTCTCAAGCAAATAAATTGGAGGAAGTTGCAGGAGACTTGGTAGCTGCTGTTCGTGTGTCCCAGCCATCTAGTTTAGCCCCACATCCGCGCCGCAAGTAGCGGCCCTGGGGATACTGTCGGCAGTGCGGCATAGTCGCAGAAACAGGTCCTCAATTAACACATCGCTGATACCCTGTTAGAGCATTTGTTTCGTTATTCAGAGCTGATCATAGTTTTGCTGCGATTTTTTTCTAATTTTACACACGACTGAGGCCCTGTTAGGCTATTTGTTTGGCCGCCATAATATGGGTACCAAGATCGAAGGAGAGCCATACTTTATTATGACCGATAATCAGTTACATCTTAAAATTTATTCAAATTAGCTATGCTGATTTGCATATTTTCACATGCATTTTTTTTTACTTAGGATAGACATGACTAAATTTAACTATTCTGGAAATTTTTATGATGACTGAAGCCTGAATAAGTCCTAACAATTGTGTTTTGAGAAGCAAGGCCCACGGAGGCCTTTTACAGATCTCTGGCTCACAGTACTACTTTTACTGCCTCTTGCTATGTTTTAGTTGTAATGACACTATTGACACAGTAGTCCTTTTCACTATTGTTGTGCAAAGGTAACACACACACACACACACACGCATGCACACACACACACAAATTGATGTGATTATAGAACGCAATACATTTTCATGGAAAGCCACCATTTAACAGCCCATATGTGCAAGAAATGCGAGAAGCAACCCGATTGGTTGGTATGAAAAAGACCAGCTAGCTAATTTCAAGACTTGTATTACTGGGCCAAGGGATTGGCTTAGCTGTATTTTTGGCCATTTTGCTGTTGGGCGGACAGATTGGCCCAGTCATTCGCAAAGGGTTAAACAGAACAGTATCGCAGAATATATATTGTGTAAGTAATTATTTTAAGAGCTTAGTGATAAAGTAAATATAGTAAAGATAAAAATTTCACATAAAGTAGTCGGATATTTATGCTTGATTATTAACTCTTTGAGTCCCAGGGGGTTTAGCATCAGAAGCCCAAGGGGTAGTCGAAAGAGATGTAAAATCAGCGCATCTTGCGTTCATTGGGCCTCTAGGCGGGACCTATAAACGTATGATGCGTTCCCTGGGACTCAAAGAGTTAAACATGTACATGTACTATATTTATTATAATTATATACCAGAGATGGGAATTTGAATGGTGCGACTTAGACTTGAGTGCAACTCAAGCCACGTAAATTTTATGACTTGTGACTCGGCTTGGGGTTTTGTCAAGCGACTCACAACTCGACTTGTGACTAGTAGCTGTACAAACTTGGTATAACTCAACGTTAGTTCTTTCCAGCCGGCCATTGCGAGGTTTGGTGATCAAATATAATAATGTGACAATTTTTCATTTTTCTGCAAATCTATTAAAATAACGATACTTTGTGTATCATTCAGTATGCAGTTGTGTGCATTTGATTCAGCTGTTTACATATAAAATCAAAATCAGACAATTGTTGGCTGCTGCTGTGGTGTTATAACAGACTAGTTTAATTCATAAGCATTGTCCCATGCATGACTTGGAACATAAAGTGTCGGGACTCAGCTTGGAAGCATTCTTGCTGACTTGGGACTTGATGGCAATGACTTGGAACATAAAGTGTCGGGACTCAGCTTGGAAGCATTCTTGCTGACTTGGGACTTGATGGCAATGACTTGGAACATAAAGTGTCGGGACTCAGCTTGGAAGCATTCCTGCTGACTTGGGACTTGATGGCAATGACTTGGAACATAAAGTGTCGGGACTCAGCTTGGAAGCATTCCTGCTGACTTGGGACTTGACGGCAATGACTTGGAACATAAAGTGTCGGGACTCAGCTTGGAAGCATTCTTGCTGACTTGGGACTTGATGGCAATGACTTGGAACATAAAGTGTCGGGACTCAGCTTGGAAGCATTCCTGCTGACTTGGGACTTGACGGCAATGACTTGGAACATAAAGTGTCAGGACTCAGCTTGGAAGCATTCTTGCTGACTTATGACTTGACTTAGGACATGATGGCGATGACTTGGAACGTAAAGTGTCAGGACTCAGCTTGGAAGCATTCCTGCTGACTTGACTTGGGACATGATGGCAATGACTTGGACTTGAAGGGTGATGACTTATTCCAACCTCCATTATATACTACTCAACTCAGCTTAGTACACACCTTTTTATGTCCTTGTGTGTTCGTTTTCCACCGTAATTAATTGAATTACTAATTGCATTAATTGTCTTTGACATTTCAGTAATAGGAACATAGAGCTAAATCATAGTTATGCTTTTTTATCACCAACTGCACAGTTTCATCATCTTGTTTCTATTTTATTTTTAGTCTCCTCTTTAAGGTAAAGGAGTCTGCACCTTGCTCATCTTATACTTCATCTAGAAATATCCGATTTGTTAATGTTTCCTTCGACAACAGTTGTGATAGATTTATCGCCACAGATCATCGAGGATACATATTTCTTTTTGATCTTTCCATAAATAGGTGAGTACAACACAAGCTAACATTATTATCTACAATATGTTTAAATACGGGAAACTTTAATGCTAACCTTGAAACCAGCAAAACAAGAAGGAACAAATGAGTTAAAGAGTGCGAAAGCTGGTAGTATTGGCAACAGAGTATGGTATGACTGTATCAGAAACATACGAACAAAAGAAAAGATTGTGAATATGGAAGAGTCTTGACAGTAAGCCTTATTTTGTACCTGGTCCAGTCTTCCAAGTTGGGTTCTGCTGACAGTGAGGAGGCCCAGACCATAGTCTATAACACTCAATATAAGTCCCTGATAGAGCAGGAAAAGTAGTCGTAGTTCAGTGTCGGCGTATGCCATCACCTTCCCAGCCGTCAGACCTTTCCTGGCTCTAACTTGTCAGTGTCTATACCGCAAATGCTCACGACTGGCATAGTTGTTCTGACAATGTGGGTATTGCATCAATCATTCTTCTGTGCTGGAGCTCAGGCCACTGGCATGCGACAATCCCCATTTTCCAAAATTTTGGTCCCTGAGTAAACTTCTTTGAATTGGCCCTAGCTATATGTTGTAAGGGCCTTATGGGCATCGGTAAACAATGAAGAGGCACAAATAGATCGTCACGGTTTTAAGAAAATGATGCAGTGAGAAGTGACCAGGGGATCTGGCCGATTCTCAACACCCAGGAAAGTTATGAGACAGACATACAATCAAAATGTCACTGGTACCTTCAGAATTGGAACTCTGTGCTTGCTGCTGAAAATGGGGACGCAGCACTTTTGTGAATGTCCTGAGTACTTAAGGAAATGTCATGAGTTCTGTGTTGTTGGTTTTTATCTCATAATTTATTTAGAAATTATGTTGCAGGATGTTAATGACCATTGGGAAATATTGAAGAGCTCCCATCAGTCAGGCTGCAGTAGTATCTATCCTGTAGCAGAAGTTGATAGGTGTTCTGGGAAGGAAAGATGACTCTCAAGGGATTTGTCAGCTCCACATTATATTTTGTAGCCTTGATAATTTTAACGCTTTCCCTGTGGGGGTTCGGTTGGGGGTAGAGAGGGGGAGGGGGGGGGGGAGACATCCAGATTCCCTATCAAGCATGTTGTAAAAGGTGACTAATTGAGGATTTTTTCCTCCAAAGTCTGAGTGCATCTGCATGAGAGGTGAGGAACCAATCTACATACCAATAAAAAAAAAGTAAAGTAAAGGACCCTTTTCCACGCCTTTAGGCATATAGGGCTAGACCTATATTTTTTATAGACCAATCTGCACAATATGGGTGATGTGGTCAGCATCCCGCCGGCCGCCTTTACTATTTCGGGACTGCACCCGGTACCCACTAAAGGCTGGGTCGACCTGGCATTTAAGGTCACTTTTGAAGAAAGTCCGGCTCCGCCAGGAAGCCAATCCACGACTTTCTGATCTGCGACAAGCGTCTAGCCACTCAGCCATGGTGACTACAACATAGCAATAAGCAGATCTTTAAATCGGATGTGCACACAGTAATCAAGTTCTGGAACGAGATTAAAGTCCAGAAGTGGACGAACAACGTGAACTTTCCACTGGAGTTTACAACCTTGAATGTTAAGAAAGAGAAGCAGAAGAAGAAGATTTGAAGGCTCAACACTTCATACTTTCTTCGCAGTATCTGCCACTGGACTACCTTGACCTCAGAATATCCTGTCATTATCACAAAGTAATTTTAAGCTTATTTGATAAGTAATATTGAGTACATGTTTGTTTCTTTTTTAAATGGAAGTGATTTGAAACAATTCTTCAGGTTCACTCTTGTGTTGAAAGCAGGCCAACCATGTACAGCTGTTGTATTTAATCTGCGTCATGGAGCAGAATTCCTGGTTGGGCTGGAGGATTGTTCTGTCAAGTGTTTTGATGCTGGTAAGTTATATCTATAAAAAAAAATTTTTTGTTTGTTTATGTAACTTTTTCGGTCTCAGACTTTTGTAACATTAACCCTGTCACTCACAGAAGCCACGAATCTAGTACTTTTTTTATGGGTCATTTTCTCAGGAAAGTCATTATACTGATTTGGATTTTGAGGCCTGTTCACAACACACCTGGTTAATGCACTGTTACCGCTTGCACCTGCATACATTTTTAGAATGACTATAGTTACTTAAAATAGTATTTAAGTAAATTTACCGTTGAGAAAAATGGCTTTATTAAAACAGATTTTGATGTCGTAATTTTCCTAAATGGTATTAACCTGCAAACCGGTTATGGGGTTAAACAAAATTAGCCACCATAATAACTTATTTTTAGACTAATATAAATGTTACCTCGTTAATTCTCTTCTATGTTCATGTTGACTGATAACTAGCCAAAATCTATATGGAAATGAATCTCGGTTTGGTTTAAAAAAATGGACGAATATGATTTGTGTGTGTGTGTGCGTGCGTGTGGGGGGGGGGGGGGGAGGGAGGGAGAGAGAGAGAGAGAGAGAGAGAGAGACCTGTTTAATATGGTTGTTATTTTAAAGAATGTTTTCTAAGAATTCCATAACAGGTCACTTACATTTTTTTTTTCTTTCTGGGTCACTTTTTGGGTTAACTGACTGTTTTTCTTTATTTGATTTACACCATCTATTGAAACACAGGCCCTTATCAAACCTATGCGAAACATGTGTAGATTTATTCGTCATTAGTTGGATTTTGCAGCTACAGTTTTCTAAGAGATGAAGTACTAGTCTTACATAGATACCTCCTGGGACATGCTTGGTAGGTTACATTGTTACTCTTCTAGCTTTCTCTTAGTGGGTCTTGCTAACACATGAAAAGAGGGGGGGGGGGGGGTGGCTAGTTCTCTTAATGGGTCTTTGCTAACACATAGGGCGAGTGCTAGTTCTCTTAGTGGGTCTTGCTAACACATAGGGTGAGTGCTAGTTCTCTTAGTGGGTCTTGCTAACACATAGGCTGAGTGCTAGTTCTCTCAGTGGGTATTGCTAACACATAGGGGGAGTGCTAGTTCTCTTAGTGGGTCTTGCTAACACATGGGGGGGGGGGTGCTAGTTCTCTTAGTGGGTCTTGCTAACATATAGGGTGAGTGCTAGTTCTCTTAGTGGGTCTTGCTAACACATAGGGGGAGTGCTAGTTCTCTTAGTGGGTCTTGCTAACACATAGGGTGAGTGCTAGTTTTCTTTGTGGGTCTTGCTAACACATAGGGTGAGTGCTAGTTCTCTTAGTGGGTCTTGCTAACACATAGGGCGAGTGCTAGTTCTTTTAGTGGGTCTTGCTAACACATAGGGGGAGTGCTAGTTCTCTTAGTGGGTCTTGCTAACATATAGGGGAAGTGCTAGTTCTCTTAGTGGGTCTCGCTAACACATAGGGTGAGTGCTAGTTCTCTTAGTGGGTCTTGCTAACAAATAGGGCGAGTGCTACTTCTTTTAGTGGGTCTTGCTAACACATAGGGGAGAGGTGCTAGTTTTCTTAATGGGTCTTGCTAACACATAGGGGGAGTGCTAGTTCTCTTAGTGGGTCTTGCTAACATATAGGGGGAGTGCTAGTTCTCTTAGTGGGTCTTGCTAACACATAGGGGGAGTGCTAGTTCTCTTAGTGGGTCTTGCTAACACATAGGGGGAGTGCCAGTTCTCTTAGTATGTCTTGCTAACACATAGGGGGAGTGCCAGTTCTCTTAGTGGGTCTTGCTAACACATAGGGGAAGTGCTAGTTCTCTTTGTGGGTCTTGCTAACACATAGAGGGAGTGCTAGTTCTCTTAGTGGGTCTTGCTAACACATTGAGGGAGTGCTAGTTCTCTTAGTGGGTCTTGCTAACACATAGGGCGAGTGCTAGTTCTCTTAGTGGGTCTTGCTAACACATAGGGGGAGGGCTAGTTCTCTTAATGGGTCTTGCTAACACATAGGGTGAGTGCTAGTTCTCTTAGTGGGTCTTGCTAAACACATAGGGGAGTGCTAGTTCTCTTAGTGGGTCTTGCTAACACATAGGGTGAGTGCTAGTTCAACAAATGGTTATATGTGCAGTAAAATAGATCTGTTGCTAATAGAACACTGTTACAATGTTACATCAAATTATAGCTGAAATTACAGTATGACGTCAAATTAATACATTTAATACTGACATTAATATTACAATATTATATTAAATGATACCTGATATTACAGTGTTTGTCAAATTATAGCTGATTTTAACGTGTAACATCAAATTATACCCGATATTACAATATTACATCAAATTACACCTGAGGGCTTATTTCAGTTTTTTACATCAAATTGTAGCTGGTATTTCTATGTTACATCAAATTGTAGCTGGTATTACTATGTTACATCATATTATAGCCGATTTTACAATGGTACATCATATTAAAGCTGATATTACTATTTTACCTAAAATTATACCTGACAGGTGTATTCCTGCAATAGGCTGAAACTGAGTGAAGCAAGTATCATATTTTATGTTCATGGGTGATGTTGAAAACCGCCATCTTTTAAATGTTGGAAGAAACAAGGTTATACTGTTTGGCTCCGAAAAGGCTACTCTGGCAAGAGTTGTGTAAAGAAGTAGGATGTGTCGTCTGAAGTTATATCACAAGATTATATCGCAACCATGTTGTTAATGGACTCAGCACATTTACATCTTTGAATGAACTCATCAGAAAAAAAAAGATACTGTTTGGCTCACATAATTTAAACTGTAAAAAATAAAACACAAGTAACCATCAACGTCTGCATAGAATATTGTCACAGTGTCTGTAGTATTTGATGTAATAAAGTGTGCTGGCTTATAGAAAAACACATCTTATTTTAGTGTCATCAAAATGTTGTGCAAATTAATTATTGGATGTTTTTGATTGAAAGGCCTAATTATTTATTTGTGTGGTCTTTTTAACAGACAAAGGCGATTTGGTCGCTGAAATGAAAGGTCACAAGTCACCAGTGCACAGAATATCAGTCAGTGTGTCTGGTAATCTTGCCTTGACCACATCTTCAGAAACCACACATCTATGGGACTTGAATACATTTCAGAAAAAACACAAACTAAACATCAAAGATGATGTAGCACTTCTACAGGTGAGAATCCTGTGCTTGTTATAAAACAGCGTTTGTTTTGCATTTAGAAATATTTTATCTTCTTCACTCTGCTATAATCGAAATGTCCTCACAACTTTTTAATTTATCTTAGCTGATCTGATTTTTTTTCTGTAGTATCACATCTTCACTGATTGGTTGGTGAATGGACTGAACAAAACTGAGTCTGAGATTTGAATTCAGATTATTGGAATCTTGGAGAGAAAAAAACATGTTTTTGTCTCTCTGGGTATGGTTAGTTCAGAGACATTTGTCTGGTCTAGTAGCAAATCCAGTCAGTCAGTCAGGTGCTGATCCCACAGTGGAGGTTTACTACAGTGGATCTCCGAAACACTTTGTCTCTTGTCTTGGTCTTACACTTTCTCAGATTGCTGTTTGTCCATCTTTCAGTTTTGTCCAACCCACTCGTATCGTCTAACTCTTTCTCTCTTGCCTTGGTCTTACACTTTCTCAGATTGCTGTTTGTCCATCTTTCAGTATTGTCCAACCCACTCGTATCGTCTAACTCTTGCTCTCTTGCCTTGGTCTTACACTTTCTCAGATTGCTGTTTGTCCATCTTTTGATATTGTCCAACCCACTTATATTGCCTACGTCTTGCTCTCTTGCCTTGGTCTTACACTTTCTCAGATTGCTGTTTGTCCATCTTTTGATATTGTCCAACCCACTTGTATCGCCTACCTCTTGCTCTCTTGCTCTGGTCTTACACTTTCTTAGACTGCTGTTTGTCCATCTTTTGATATTGTCCAACCCACTTGTATTGTCTACCTCTTGCTCTCTTGCCTTTGACTTTTCACTCTAGTATAATTTTTAAAAGAAGTAATCCATTTTTAATGTAGCTGGAATAATTTAATTATCCCCTCCCCACTTTTTCTTTTCTTTCTGCAACTCTCCTTTCATTCCCAGTCTCTTTTAAACTTCTTTATTTTATTGTTTTTGTTTTCAATGAACAAACTTTCACAAAATAAAAAATATAGGAATTTTATACTCCTTCCTTGTTCCTGAATGAAAATTATAAGGGAAAATCATTGAAAATAAGCACATGAGACATTTAGGGAGCTCCAGAATGTTGCAAAAGATAAGTATGCTTGGCATGTCTAGGTTGATGGCCATTACTCTGTTTGAGAAGAGAATGGCCAAAATGGTTGACTGCTTATGTTGAATTTTAACAGTTATCTTCTTCTTTGTGTTCACAGGCTGTAAACTCTGGCGGATAGTTCTGATTATTCGTCCACTTCTAGACTCTAGTCCTGTTCCAGAAACCTGTGATGCATGCACATCCGTTTCACAGATCTGACTCATTTGTATGCAGACTGTTGGTTCCTTGCCTCTCAGGCAGATGTACTCCAACTTCGAAGGAAGCTCCCAGTTAGTTGACTCTTACGACAGGCTTTTGGGTGGGCAGCGGGTCTATTCTTTTTTCCCACAATGGGGACCAGGAACCCACGTGGGGATTAACAGTTATGACATCTATACACAATAATATTTGTATTCATGCATTCACACATTGGGATCCTCACCCATGCCATGAAGTTTCTGTGATGGGTGAGGATTCTCTTTACTCAAGAATTACTTCTATTCACAGAATGTTTGTTTTCTCCACAGACATTCTTTCTTCCAAACAGCAATATTGTTTTGACATGCTTTTGTGATGACACCATATTTGCTTGGGACCTTGACTCCATGGCCTGCAAGTACCAGCTACCTATACCTACAGAGACAAGACCTCAGTACCGTGCATTTGCAGTCTCACTGTAAGCCAAGCGCTGGTCTTTGCTTCACAGTTTTGTTTATTAATTCTCTTTCAAGAAACATTTCATAAATGAAGAATATTATTTGCATTACATCTTTGTCAATTGAGATAGGAAAGAGAGTGGTTAAGAACTAACAGACAAATCATTACGGTCTGAGAAAAATGGCACTGTGAGGAGTTACAAGGGGATCTGGCAGACACTCAACACTTAGGGAAAAGATGAGACAGATATACAATCAGACAGTTACTGGTACCATCGTAATTGCTTGCTGCTAAAGATGGAGATGTAGCCCTTATAAAGTGTTGTGATGTCGATTCTTAATTCAAAATTTAAAAATTTGGTAGTAAAGATCTATGCTTAGCTAGTCTCGATGTAAAGAAAATAAACAGTGAGCAGATTAGGAAAAATACTGTGGAAGCTACTTAGATGGGGCTTAATAGGAGAATAGTAAAGATACTTTGAACAGATAGAGCACAGACTTCTAGTTTAGAAATGGCGGTGCCAAGATATTTTTTTGTGGCAACACGCAATAGTATTATTAAAATTTACACTTTATCTGTGTTTTTATTTTTCGTTAACAAAGTGCATCGTTTATTACAAATTCATTCATGATGTTTATTTTGTTATTCGTGGAAACTAAGTATTCTGTGGTTTAGGGGTGTCATAATGAAATTAGTTCTGACAAACAGACACGGTGGCTGTTGTGTCCTAATATCGATAATGTAGCCGTAGGAGCCACGCTCCCATTATAAACATGGGAGTAGAGAAGAAGTCTACCCTAGCAAAATAAGGTGCTGAAGTCTGAGGCAACCAGCCAAGAGGCGCACTACATGAATTAGGATGTAATGCACAAACGCAATAGGGAATATATCTATATCTGCAAACAAGTATGTTTATCGCCATGTGACCGGCCTACGTCTAGTAAAAAGGGTCCATCTACAAATACTAAAAGTCTACCTCAAATGCCTCATAGAATCAGAGTAGCAGAAGATACAGTTTGTCTAAAAATAATGCACTGGATCATGGAGGGAGTAAATACTAAGAAATTAGAACTAGAAAACACCTTGAACAAAGAGCAGATACACCTCTGCTGCCTTCAAAAGACCTATCTCAAACAAGACATAGCCTTCAAGATCAGAGGCTGCCAGTGTTTCTGATTTGAGCAGAAAAGAGAAGAAAAGGTAGAATTCTTACCCTGGTCAAAAATATTAATCCTTGATTGAAACATACATGGAAGGTGCTGAGTATCAAATGCTTAAGCTCAAGAAAGTAAATACTGATTTACATCTGATCAAATATTACTGTCTGAATGACCGCCCTCAGGCACTGGATACAGTAGTAGCAAATGAAAGAATGATCATTTGTTGAGATTTCAGTAGCCACTCCTAAAGTTGAGGCTATAATCACATGGATCAGAGAGGAGAGAAACTGGAGGACTGGTAGGATGAGAATAGATTCATCCTCATTAAGCCAACTAACCCACCAACCTTCTTCTCAAGAGCATAACAAACCACCTTGACACCAGACCTAGTCTTTCACTCACCAAACACGGAACTGAAAGTCACCAGAACTGTTGGGAAACAACTAGGATGCAGTGACCACCGGCTAGTCTTTCTAACTGTAGAAAGCTTGTCTGTAATAAAGAGCAGCACTCTGTCAAGATGGAATTATAAGAAGACAGACTGGAAGTTGTATCAGCACAGCACAAATGTTCTGCTTAAAAATTTGAACACAGATAATGATGCAGAAAATATAGTCGAAGAGTTCAGTAAATGCATACTACAGGCAGCCCTAGAAACAATACCAAGAGATGCGCATCAGTAATTTGAAACTGCACAATGATATGGAAACAGAAAGAAAGCAAGCTGAGGCCAGACCTTGTCAAGAGCAGTTCAACAACTACCAACATGCAAAGGCTAAATTTCAAAGAGCCAAGCTGCAGGCTAGACAGACAAGCTGGCAGAAACAAACAAACAAAAGTCTCTAAGGAAGTTGTGGAGGCTAGTGAAACAAATTAATGATGAAAGTGCAGGGAGAAATGCAACTATTAAACTATGCAAAAAAGGAGCCATCCAAACAAGAAAACAGGCAGCTGACCACTTTGCAGATTTTTTTGCCAAAGACAGCGACATTGATGTCAGCCCAGAGAAACTGCGAGAGTTTTGAGAAAATCAGCAACACACAAGACAAAATAATATAATTCTTGAGGCACTGTGGCAGCACTTAAGGTCTAGCAAGCTAGAGTTAACAATATCAAAGCTGAGAATGGAAAAGTCACCTGGAATTAATGGAATAACCAACGAAATAAAGCTGCTACAGATCTTTAATCATTGTTGGACCAGTCGCAAAGTTCTCCAGATGTGGAGAAAAAATCTAAAAAAGGACAGTTCTTATGCCTCCAGCTATAGACCAGTCAGCCTTACCAGCTGCCTCTGTAAAACAGTGGAACGCATTGTCAACCTTAGATTCCAATGGTACTTGGAAAGTGAAAACAGTGCTACTCCACAGAAGATCAGACAATTTATCTTTTGCAAGAAATTGAGGATGCCTTTCAGGAAAAGAAGCTGGTGCTAGCAGCAGGGATAGATCTGAAGAAAGCCTTTGACAAGGTCTGGAAGGAAGGAAGCCTGAGTACAGATAGACAGAAAGAGTAAGATAGTTTTGCTGCACCATGGCGTCTCACAAGGAGGTATCCTGTTCCCAACACTCTTCTAGTCTATTTCAGTGACCAAGATCTGAACTACCCCAACGAATTAAAGCTGCAATGTATGCTGACGATACAAATTAATATACAACAGTGGCCACATAACACTTTGAACATTTCTGTTGTTATCGATGAAGAAGTATAACAAAAGTGATGAACTAATGTTAAAAAAAAATATTTGGAAGGCTGGAAGAAATGAGCATATCATAGAGACAATGACATAGATAAGTATCACAATAAAGGACACTGAGAAATCGCCTCAGACATCTCCAAGTGAGTGTTTGTCACAATCCTAAAACACTATGTGAGACTGCACACCCAGTGGTTATGTGTTTAATTCCTTTACAGCAGGGGTTTATTTTCATTTACCTCAGCTCTGGGGTCGGTCCGGCCTAAAATGGATATTAAGAAAATCCTGAGAAGTATAGGTTTCCATTAAATTGACCACAGAGTGCCAGTTCTTCTTCTTCTTTGCGTTTACCATCTGTAAACTCTGGTGGTAAATTCTGGTTGTTCATCCATTTATAGACTCTAGTCCTGATCCACAACCTGAGTTGCATAGGCAGTGAGTCTTTTCTTGTTTTCCCCACAGTGGCGCCCTGGAACCCACACGGGAATCAGTTATTCTAATATTGTGGGCCTTTACTTTTTCTGACTATAAAGAAGTGGTTTCCATATGAGAATGGTCACCACAGAATGATGCCTGTCTTGTCTCCTAAGTTTAACATTTCTAATGAAGTTTAATCACAACTTTATCATAGAGATTCTCATCATCTGGTAGCTGCAGGCAAATCAAGACTGTTACATCTTTGGCACCTGGATACACAGAGATTGATCCGGGCTATAGAAATGCCAACACATGTTAAGACTGTCAAGCAAGTTGAGTTTGTCCCCTACATTTCTTCTCAAGGTATTGACCAGGTAATAAATTTTTTTTTACATTCAATTACCTCTAGATTACAATTAAAGAGTAATTAATAGTTTTCATGGCCATGAGAAGGCAATTGTCATTTGTTTCCCCGCTACATTCTGAGAAAAGGTAAGGAGTGGCTGGCATATGGGTTCAAGCACTGGGACCTCCAGGTTAGGATCTTCAGTATAGTAATGGAAGCATTTTTTCTGTTAGGTCAAAAATAAACATTCTAACCTGCACAATTCATGGCAACTACACTAGTTGGGCAGCCGGACATCTTTAGACTCAAGGCCACTCCACCACTGCTCTAAAAGTGGTACTACAGGCAGTAAAGACTGTAAAAAAAAAATTTGAAGTCGAATGAAACGTTGTGACAACTGGAAACATGTTTGAAAAAAAAGAGATAGATGAAGGCACTGAAAGAAGGTTCTTGGCAGTTCTTTGTCATGGCATGGATTTGATACATGCTATTGAAGATGTGGAGAAACAGGATCATCCACATTAGTTGGTAGGTCACTTGATGAGTTTTAGTACCTCTTGCTAGAACAGTGTGACAGGATAATCAAGATATACATATCTCTAGATATTAATATCTCTAGATATTAATATATATATATATATATATATATGGTGTCAAAACATTTTTTTAAACTGCTATCATCAGTTATTGCATGTTCAGATAAGAGAATTTTTTTTTACAGCACTGGTGTCTCTTCATTTACTACACACTAATGTCTATTCATGACCTACACACTAGTATCTCTCTATTTACTACACTCTAGTGTCTCACCATTTACTACACACTAGTATCTCTCCATTTACTACACTCTAGTGTCTCTCCATTTACTACACACTAGTATCTCTCCATTTACTACCCTCTAGTGTCTCTCCATTTACTACACACTTGAGTCTCTCTATTTACTACATACTAGTATCTCTCCATTTACTACACACTGGTGTCTCTTCATTTACTACATACCAGTCTCTCTCCATTCACTACACACTAGTCTCTTTATTTACTACACACTAGAATCTCTCCATTTACTACACTCTAATGTCTCTATTTACTACACTCTAGTGTCTCTCCATTTACTACACACTAGTATCTCTCCATTTACTACACTCTAATGTCTCTATTTACTAAACTCTAGTGCCTCTCCATTTACTACACTCTAGTGCCTCTCCATTTACTACACATTAGTGTCTCTCCATTTACTACACACTAGAGTCTCTCCATTTACTACACACTAGTATTACTAGAATGTCTTTGCATTGGAACCCACAGGGGCATATGAATAAAGGAAGGCCAAAAAACACATGGAGAAGAGAGCTGGAGAACAAGGTTAGAAAGATTGGGAGGACATGGAGAGAGCTCCATGCAATGGCGAAAGATAGAACGACTTGGCGTGAGTTGGTTGAGGGCCTATGCTCCATTGGGGGATAGAAAGGCAGAAGAAGAAAGAAAGAAGAAGTATCTCTCCATTTGCTACACACTAGTACCTCCATTTACTACACACTAGTATCTCTCCACTTACTACACACTAGTAAATCTCCATTTGCTACACACTAGTATCTCTCCATTTACTACACACTAGTATCTCTCCATTTACTACACACTAGTATCTCTCCACTTACTACACACTAGTAAATCTCCATTTGCTACACACTAGTATCTCTCCATTTACTACACACTAGTATCTCTCCATTTTCTACACACTAATATTTCTCCATTTACTACACTCTAGTATCTCTCCATTTACTACACACTAGAGTCTCTCCATTTACTACACTCTAGTATCTCTCCATTTACTACACACTAGTCTCTCCATTTACTACACTCTAGTATCTCTCCATTTACTACACACTAGAGTCTCTCCATTTACTACACTCTAGTATCCCTCTATTTACTACACACTAGAGTCTCTCCATTTACTACACTCTAGTATCTCTCCATTTACTACACACTAGAGTCTCTCCATTTACTACACTCTAGACTATTTTTACTACACACTAGAGCTTCTCCATTTATTACAGTGTTCATTGTCAAACTCTTTTTCATTGCTAATTATCATTGTTTCCCTTTATCAAGACTGGGTTATTTATGCTGCGGTCCACACTTGTGTTGCAGATGTTGGCAGTGCTCTCACAAGATGGGGTGCTGCAGTTTATCCATACAGACAGCTGCAAGTTGTTGTTTGATATAGGGAATGTAGAGTTGAAAGTCCTCTTTGTGACCATTGACTCACTTGGTCAGTATGCAGTTACAGTAATGGACGATGGGAAACTACACATATATAGTATTGCTGCACTGCTAGCAGAACACAATAAGGTAATGTGTATTTCATTTTGATGAACTCTTTAAGTTACACAAAGCAGATATTCAATAGGGACAATACCCATGATGACAAAAAGGCATATGTGTTTCACTGTGAAAGAGACAACATATACTGTGCCACAGGTTAAAATATCCTGCTAGATATCAAAAGTACAAGCAAGTTAAATATGTTAGTTCAGTGCAGCATGCTTTGGATGATATGTTGTTTACTCATCAGAAGAGGTTAGGACTACTCATCATTCAGTGAGATTCAGTTTTAATGAGCACAAAGGTGGCTCATGGGGCTTGGCTAGTTTTTGGGCAGCAGATGCTAGATACACTCAGTAAATGATTTGTGACATGGGGCATTCTGGCTTTCTTTTGCTTTATGAATTAATTCTCAGCTCCCTTACCGAGCATTGCACCATGATTTTGTTATGTCCATTGTGTGATGAAGATGATCTTTAAGTTAACATTGAACAAAGTTTGATATAAAATATTCTCTTTAAATTGTGGTCTAACATTTTCCATGTTGCAAAAGATTTGTGTTAATGGAACTTTAGTAAAAGCATCCTCATATTATCATCTGACTTCTTTGCTTTTGTTGTTTTCATATATTTATTTGGACCTATAATTTATTTTTCAATGTGAAGCTACCTGCCCCCACTCTCATGAAAGTGATACCCAGGAGTAAAGCTTCAGATGCCATGAGAACTGGGAATAAAACAAAAAGAGCCAAATCTGTACAGAAGTTGTCAAGGCCGGAAATTACAGAACCTTATATAAAGAATGATTATGTTGACATAAAGGTTAGTACAGACTTTTGTTTGTATTCAAATGTTCTGTGTTACTGCTGTTGTATGTGCCTTCACATTGTTTAATAACTAAACTTAAACATTGCCACATAGTAAAGCAAAAATAATGGACTCTGTTTACCCAGAGATGCTTCAGACACACCTTGTGTAAATTTGTGTGCACTCTGTGCATTTCTTACATTTGTCCTTAAAACTCTGTGGCGCTGACGTGGAGAGATCTGATTCAATGAAATACCTGGGTATAACTTTTGACAGATGCTTAGCATTTGAAAAATAGGTAGACCACATTATAACCAAAGCCAAAAAAGGTCTCTCCACAATAAAAGTTATGGGACGTGCAAGCTCTGAGTAACGGCTACTTATAATGCTATATCATGGGTTAGTTCTCTGCACTGGCCATCATGACACTTAGCACCACACAGATGAACAGATTGGAAAAATTGAAAATGAGGCAATGCGCATTATTCTTGGATGCACTAGAGACACCTCCTGTAAATCCATGCGATACCTCTTGGATTTCCACACAATGGACATCATAATCAAGCTATTTAGGACTGTTGCTTTTCTCAAAGTGAAGTCAGACCCCCCAACACCACTTCATGAGGATTTATTTAAGCAAAAAAAAAAAAATAGACTTAAACAAGACAAATCCTGGATGGGTCCTCATCAAACATGTTTGCCGCCTTACTGACATTAATTTTTGAATTGAATGGATACCCATGCCTCCTGCTCCAAACATTAACATTAAAGTTCATATCATACTTGATGGAAGCTGTAGAAAGCAACAGAACACTGATTGATGAGAACACGAATGAAGGTGATGCTATAGTTTACACAGACAGATCGGTAATTCGGGGCAAGGGAAGTGCATGGGCATTCACAGTAAGCTCAAGGGGGAAAACCATCAAGCAGATGAATGATGCCTTTGTTCTTAAAACCAGCAGCATTACAGTGGAAACTATGGCTGTAACTAGGGCATTAGCATGGCTTGGTACTGAAGAGTTCACACAAAAGTGTATTTTTAGTGACTCGATGAATAGGCTTTACAAAATCCAGGCTGGTTTTGTCAGATAAGAATGGATTGCAACACTTAGCACTTCGTGAGTGGCTGCCTTAACCTTCATCTTTGTGCCGGGTCATGCGGGTGTTCAAGGGAACGAGCATGCAGATCATCTTGCCGACACTATGACTGGTCCAGCACTGGACAGAAGCGATGTTATCAATGCCCTGCACATACCGAGGAGCACTCTAAAGGACATGACTCTGTATCTCTCTCTAGGCTGATGAACATGGGGGTGCTACTGGAGCTGGGAGAAATGAATATTTTGCTACAAGGACTACATGTTTCATTAATCAACACAGAACAGGTGTCATACACTTATGGAGCTATTGAGGAGGAGATCAGAGCACCTGTACATCTGCCTGGAGTGCTGTGATGATAATCCTTACTAACCTGTGCATCTGATTGCAGTGCTGTGATGATAATCCTTACTAACCTGTGCATCTGATTGCAGTGCTGTGATGATAATCCTTACTAACCTGTGCATCTGTTTGCAGTGCTGTGATGATAATCCTTACTAATCACTTTTTGTTTCATGGACCAAGCACTATGTTAATGGATTTGCTGGCTGAGGCTTCAGAGCTCCTGCAAACCATCCAGACTCCTGCTGGTTGGCCTAGGTGCAACATATAACTTCTCTAAAAATGTTTTATAATTCTTGGGTTTCATGAATCAAACTGACTTTCCACTTGTCTCAGCTCAGACTGGAAGTCATGAACAGTTTGGCATGGGAACTTACTCTGTCTGAACAAGACGCAAATATAATTTTTCTATTTCCCCAAACAGTGGTTGAGTAGGTGCCAGTTGTGGTGATATTTAGTCAGATTTCTGGGTGCTATTAAAGGAAATAATACATGATATATCATAACTTTGTTTACTTGTCAGTGTCCAATTTAGTCCCTTTGTGCATTCTGTAGGCCTCATTTTGTGGGGTGGGGGGGGGGGGATGGTGAATAGACCCTCTGCTTCCTAACAAGCAAGTTATAATAGGGCTGCCAGTTAGGAGTTAGCGAAATTAAATTTGTTGTGTCAAACAGCACAGATGTCGCAGCCCAGAAAGAAGTAAGCTGTAACACAATATGCCAGCTGACCTTTTAAGGACAAACACATAGAAGAAGAAATAACCTTAGATTAAATATTATATATAAAGTATTGCAAACATAATCCATTTGACATCTCCATACTAGCTTGTTTGTTTACATTGTAGTGTTGAATTTCCAATGTCTGTAATATGAAAGCAGGGACCACAATATTTGTCTGATTACACTTTCATTAGAATGTGTGCCTTGAAGGATTGAACAAAGACAGATTGCTAACCATCCTCAAAGGATATGGAGAATACCCTGCAAAATACAGGTGATTAAATGTTGGTTGTTTGATTGTGAAGTCTTTCTCTATCAGAAAAGCCATATATTTTCACCTCCTCTTTCTTCATCACAGCCTCTTCCAACTCCTTCTGCTGCTTCTTCTTTAGCTTCTCATCTAGAGTAGATTTAGAAGATCAGGACCTTTTCAATTCTCTGATATTCTCCTAGGTTGAGATTGCTTATGTTATCATTGGTGAAATTTGAGTTTTTCCTTTCTGTAAGGAGTGCTGATTTGAAACAAAGTCTAAATGCTCTATTACGAAAGCATAAAAAAACAACAGTTGATTCAGAATTGAAAAATTTTTTTTTTAAATTTATTTTGAATGAATAATGCACTATAGGTTGTTAATAAGAAAAGTCACTGTAGGCATTCACACAAGCATTCATTAACTGTAGGCATTCACACAAGGATCCATTGACTGTAGGTATTCAGACAAGCATCCATTCACTGTAGGCATTCAGACAAGCATCCGTTAGCTTGGGTAGGCAGCAAACACAGTCTGCATAAAAGGACTATGGTCGCTCATTGAACCAAATTTGTATCCTGTTTATTACATGGTACTCTCTGTGAACACACTTTCCAAAACTGCAATTTCTTGCAACAGTCTTTTGAACTGCCACAGTGTACACATCAGCTTCTTTCTTTAGCAGATGTATGCTTCGACACTGATCCGCCTACATTGTTGCATCAGTTTTGGTGGTGGATTTTTCTGTTGCAAAAATATGCACCTGACTGGCCATGGAAGATCTGCCATGAGCTCATTGAAAGTATGTCTATCATTTGTTAATAATGTATCTTCTGTATGTATTTTTACTGACTGCAGATCTGCTTTTGCTGTTTATTGTTTTAAAAATATTTATATGTTGATCAGTTCAGTTTAATATTCAGTGTTAAGGATCAGTTGTAATGTTTCTCTACAGGACCTTTATCTGGCAGAAGATTTTACAACTGCCAGACAATTTCACAGCTTATGCAGCCTTGGTTGACAAGGGTGTCCATCCTGCCTATAGAAAACTGCATGAAGTGTATCCCATCAAGAGCCAGAAGCTGTTTAGAGTACTACAAAGGTATTGAGCTTTTACGTGCTTTGTTTATTGCTTTCAAATAAGAAAAAACTTGTAGTGAACTCACTATAAAATATCAAAAGATAAACATTCCTAGCATTTAGTTTACTTTATTATCATAAAGAAGGCCTAATTTCTCCTGTATGTGTAAAGTGGAGCAGTCATTGAACACACAGTTGAGTTGTTTAAAGATCACATTCTGATTCTAATTTGTATCGTTGACTTTTTTGTAGATGTGGTATTGTTCTGTTTACAGAATTTTGTCAGCCCTGGCCTACTGGTCACCAGTGTTTGGAGAAGCCCAGTATCTGCCCTCATTCGCCTTTCCCTTTGTTAGATTATACCAGAACAACCATTTGACCTGCTTCGAACTCCTTGCAACAGTCATAGGTAAAATTCATGTATATATTACTGCAGACATCATGTCCACTTTTAAAATATCTTTCTGCCTTTGGCAGAATACATGTGTTACTCGTTTCAGAGTGATAGCTTCTGTTTTATAGTTTTGTTATTGTACATATAAATAATGAAGATAATTGTAAAAGATATTATAAACAAAGATGTGGTAATAAATAATTTAAAAAAAATGGTGGCACCAAGATGTTTTTAGGTGACATGTAATAATATTAAAATTTACACTTTATCCATGGCTGTCATGTCCTAATATCGCTAATGTAGCCATAGGAGTCACACACCTATTATAATTATGAGAGTCCACAAGTAAGACAACAGTCTACCTTAGCAAAATAAGGTGCTGAAGTCGGAGCAACCAGCCAAGAAGCGCACTACAGAATCAGGATGCCATAAACAAATGCAATAGGCAATATATCTCTATCTGCAAACAAGTATGAAACTGACCATGTGACTGCCCCAGGTACACGTGGGACGTCTTACTGGTCTGCGTCAAGTATATAGGGTCCAGATACAAATATTGAAAGTCGTAGAACCAGAAGAGCAGAAAATACAGATAGTCTAAAAATAATGCACTAAAAAATGCTGAGAGATTAGAACTGTAAAACACATTGAATGCATCCATTTCACAGATTTGACTTACTTGTTGGTTCCTTGCCTCTCATGCAGATGCAGTCCACTTTTAAGGAAACACCCCTACTAGTCGACTTTTACGACATGCTGTTGGGGGGGGGGGGGGGGGGGCGCATGGTCTATTCATGTTTTCCCCAAAATGGGGCCTCAGAACCCACACGGAGAGTCTTTTGCAGTGGAATAATTCTCAAAAGCTTATTGTAGCCAGTTCTAATGTTATGAAGTGAATCATTGGATAATGAAAAATTTTCTTGAAAGCTCTAGAGATGTGGACAGACACAAATAATGTAACAATGTCCTAGAATACTACAGTAAGGAAAAAATACATCCTACTACCATCTTAAACGTTGACCAGACTACAAGAGCAGTAAATCAGGAGGGGTAAAGACACACAAGAGCCACTGTGTAGATGCCATAGGATAGTAATAATAGTAAACCAACGCAGAACTAGTTTATTTTGCCACACACTGAGGGATTTACATACTAGTGTATCCAAACACTTATGAACTGAATAATTCAGTGTGCAGTAAGGAGGATATGTCAAATGACTCACAGACTGAGTTTTTATGAAAATGTCTTATACCAGTGATTCCCTAACTGTGCACCGCAGCGTGACCTCTTCACAGGGGAGCTCAAAATATGAAGATACAAGAGTTTTATTTGTTTTTAATCTCTTACATACGAAGTCATACTTTTACTTAGGTTAGGGCGCCGTGGAAAAATTTTAATTGAAAAAAAGGTGCGGCAACTAAGAAAAGTGTGGGAAACACTGTCTTATGCACTTAAACTGAAGTTGTAATCAAACACATTGTTGATTCATTGACAATGTATTTATGTTTCTGTTCCAGTTAATTGGAGCCAGCACTGGTTTGAGTATTTCCCCAATCCTCCCATTAACATCCTTGGCATGATTGAAAATTTGCTGGCTCAGCATGACCTGCCTTTGCTTCATCATTTTATGAAATACAACATCACCTCACAGGTAGGCTATCTCAGCTATATGTTGCAGAGAGTGTTTACAAATACTATCGAACCAACAAACTTGATTTTCAAAGGGTCACAAATTGAGCATGCAGGCCCGTCTTATATTCGCCCCTTTCAAACACGTGTCTTTCTTTCACACTGCAGTTGTATTTTATCAATGAGCATGTTATATTTCTACTAGTTCATACTAGTTGCCTACTGAAGTATTATTAGGCTGCTTTTACTACTCGTGACTTGATAGTATACAAGGCTAATGAATTAATGAAAATGTAATAATAGGTCAGGGGTTATGGTGTCCCTATCTTTCTCAGGCTGATCACATTTGTTTATTGTTGTAGCTTTTTTAAATTTTACAAAATAAGCAAAAGGGTGGTATGCTCTCCACCTCCACCCTGGCTTATGGACAAGGAGGACAAACTCAGGGGAGCTCTCTCTCTCTCTCTCTCTCTCTCTCTCTCTCTCTCTCTCTCTCTCTCTCTCTCTCTCTCTCTCTCTCTCTCTCTCTCTCTCTCTCTCTCTCCCTCCCCCCTCCCTCCCTCCCTCGATCTCTCCTTTGGAAGTTGGAAATTTAAAAATATCACACTGGACTACTGTCTGGGCAAATTTTCTTAATTAGAAAAGCTGCACACAAAACTTGTACAGAATGTACACTGAAGCAATGTTTGTGTGTATGTATAGCTGGGACACTTGTGCAATGTTTGTGTGTATGTATAGCTGGGACACTTGTGCAATGTTTGTGTGTATGTATGGCTGGGACACTTGTGCAATGTTTGTGTGTATGTATAGCTGGGACACTTGTGCAATGTTTGTGTGTATGTATAGCTGGGACACTTGTGCAATGTTTGTGTGTATGTATGGCTGGGACACTTGTGCAATGTTTGTGTGTATGTATGGCTGAGACACTTGTGCAATGTTTGTGTGTATGTATAGCTGGGACACTTGTGCAATGTTTGTGTGTATGTATAGCTGGGACACTTGTGCAATGTTTGTGTGTATGTATGGCTGAGACACTTGTGCAATGTTTGTGTGTATGTATGGCTGAGACACTTGTGCAATGTTTGTGTGTATGTATAGCTGGGACACTTGTGCAATGTTTGTGTGTATGTATAGCTGGGACACTTGTGCAATGTTTGTGTGTATGTATAGCTGGGACACTTGTGCAATGTTTGTGTGTTTGTATAGCTGGGACACTTGTGCAATGTTTGTGTGTATGTATAGCTGGGACACTTGTGCAATGTTTGTGTGTTTGTATAGTTAGTTAGTTAGTTAGTTAGTTAGTTGGGTTATCCTCATTGCACTCCTGACATGTCCATAGGTGCTCAGATCCTCCCCTCAGTATGAACCCCAACGTCCGATGGCTAATAGTACCAGTTCTATGTTGATTAACAAGTTTTATGACGTGTCCGGTGTGCGTCTCGTTTTTTGCTGTGCCGATCTTAATTCCCAAGTCTGCCATTCTGGCGAGTGATGTGGATTCACTGCCACCAAAGTCCTCTATCCTTCCCATTTCTCTGAGGGCATTGATAATATCAGCATGATCCATAGGCAGACCGTCAGTAGTGATAGCGGATCCAGCCAACCTGTCAGCTCTTTCATTTCCATTGACGCCTGCGTGTCCCGGAACAAAAATAAAGGTGACTCCACGAACAGTGGACTTCTGTAATGATTCAAGCCATTGTCTTCGCACTGAACCTGCCTGAACCCTCAGGATCATACTCATTGAATCACTGAGTATACACACGCGGGTGTATTTTTGTGTTTCAAGCCAGGCAAGCGCTTGCGTCACTGCCATCACCTCCATCGTCATGCTGCTGGTTGTCATGGAGAAGGCGCCATTGGCTTCTTTGACTGTTCTGCCCGCTGAGCGTGCTGTAAATGCCCATGTGCTTCTTCTTTGGTGTATAACGGATCCGTCTGTATAGATTATTGCATCTGCTTCGTCTGAATTTTCACCGATGAGAGCGTTGACCTCTGCATTAACAGCAACAGGATTCTCTTCTCTACATTGCCTGTTGAGTGTGACAATACAAGAAAATGTACAAATAAACGCCTGAGGCACAGGTATCCATTCTGCACCAGGTATGATGTCGGTTAGGCTGCATATTTGCCTAATAACATCTTCTGCCCAACCTAGCCACGATTTCCCCCTCTTCAGTCTGTCGCCCTTTTCACTAAAAAGCGCTTGATGCATTGGGTGTTTCTTATCAGCACATATTTTGAGATATGCCCGAGCCCTCCACATCCTGATCCTTTGGTTCATTGTTGGAAAGTCAAGTAGATACCTCATTGCTCCACAGGATGTGTCTCTTGTACATCCCAAAATAATGCGCATGGCTTCATTTTGCACCTTTTCGAGTCGTTCAATCTGGGTAGCACTGACAGTGAGGATGGCCAGAGCATATTCAATGGGGGAAAGGACCAGACCGTAGAATAGAAGTATTAGTAGTCTTTGCACTATATTGGAAGCAGCCATAATTGTGTATGTATATCTGGGACACTGATGCAACGTTTGTATGTATGTATAGCTGGGACACTGATGCAATGTTTGTATGTAGATCTGGGACACCAACACAATGTTTGTGGGAGTGTATAGTGGGACACTGTCACAGCATTTATGTCCATGAACAGATCTATGCCTGGCCATTACTTGAGACTGCCTTCTCTGAGGTTCTCACACAAGACGAATGGCTGATCATGTGGGACAATATTCTCAGTAACCAGCCAGCTTTCCTCCTCATCATTGTTGTGGCCTACAACATTTGTGCTCATGGGTCACTGATCAAGTGTACTCAAGTGGAGGATTTCCAGGTTGGTATCACACATCAGGATTTAGCAGTTTTATGAAGATGCATGGCTTTAGTTTTGTTATGGCTTTTTTTTTTTTTTTAAATAGTACTGAAATTTTGTGTATGTTTTACCTTTTTTTTTAAATTGTTATAATTTTTTAAACTGTATCTGAACAAATAGACATTGTATCTGACCCACATATCTTTATCATATGCCTTTGTAACAACGAATATTATTTGTCAACCCACACATACCAGCAGGTATTGTGTCCTTATCTGTACATACTTACAGGTATGTATGACACATAGATTGTGTCTCAACCCACACATCCTGCCAGGTCTGTGTGACACAACACAGACTGATCTCAACCCACACATAAACTGTATCTCAACACACACATACTGGCAGGTCTGTGTGACACCCACCACACATAGACTGTATCTCAACACACACATACTGGCATGTCTTTGTGACACTACATATAGAGTTTATCTCAGTCCATACATACTGGCCGGTCTAATTGACACCATACAGATTGTATCTAAACCCCCACATCCAGGCAGGTGTGTGTGACACAACACATAGACTCATGAAATGCTTATGTAATGATTTAATGTTATGTGTCCAGTGCAATTGCCATGAATTATGGAGGTTAGGATTACTATTTTTGCTCCACTAGGAAAAACCCCACCCCCTACCATGTCTCCAGCCTGAGATCCAGTGCCCTAATAACTCAGCCAGCTGATCCTTTATGGGACACAACAACATAGAATATATCTCACCATATTGTAACATATCCTGCACGTTCTCATGACAGATCTGTGTGGCATCATACACAAGTTTTGTATCTGATCCCATACATTTTAACAGCTCTATGTAACAGAACAGTACACTAACATTGTAACCTATCCCATATGTTCACCTGACATGCCTATGTCACGCAACAACATATATTGTATCTTCACACAAAGGCACACTCACCCACACAAACACGAAAACACACTCACTCACTCCAGGTCTCATCAGTATTTAATACAGTACGTAATTTTAATACAATTTCTTTAATGTGTATTTTTTAAAATTTGTTTTGTTCCTCATATAGATAACTGTTTATCCTCCAGCATTTTCACATGTATTGTAAATTGTCTTCCAGTTCTTCTATCATCATCAAAATGCACTCAGTATCAGACAAATACTGACCAAAGCTTACAGTCTCATGGAAACATCACCAGTGGAAAAACTGAACACTTTTGAGCCTCTCACCAAGGGAAATTATCCTGTCTTTAATAAGTATCCAAAGTCTATTGTAGACTACCAGGTATGAGTTTTGAGAATTTTGTTAGTACATCATCTTCTTCTTCTTCTTCTTCTCCTCCTCCTCTTCCTCTTCCACAGTTACTTCAGCAAACGGTTAGGTCAAGATGTAGGGATCATCAGTGTGCTCTTTTCAGTGAGTAGTTTTAGTTGTCTTAATTTCTTTAAGATTGTGATTGATGTCGTCGCTCCATATTTTACATGGTCTTCTCCTTGCTGTATGTGCATTATATTTCTTCAGCATAGATCTGTGTTGTAGATGGCACCAGGGAAATCACGGCAGGTGACTAAACCATCTCTTTTATTGATCTTTAATGAGATGTATTTAGTTTCAGTCTTGTTTGTCAATTAAAAAAAATATGTAACAATTTCAAATAATGCAGAACAAGTATTGAGACAGCTAACCCCTCTCTTACCGTTAAAACAGTTGCAGTCAGCACAAAGAAATCTCTCGTACAAGACATATTGATGCCCACTCTATGCTACTAGTGTCAGACATGGTTACTCACAACAAACAGGACAAGAAAATTAGTAACCATGGAAATCAGAAGCCAGAGAAAGGCTGTCAGAGTGACGAGATGAAATTAAATCAAGAATGAAGTCATAGGAGAAAATAATAACAAGGACTACGAAGTCATATTCTAAGACGTCAAGTTAAACGGTTTGCCAACTTAAGAGAGAATACAAGAAAAGACAAGGATGAAGTAGAATGCGAACAAGATGGCAAGATAATGTGATAATATCAGAGAAACTACACCAGCACAATGTGTCTATCATCAAGGCTGTCAGAAGCAGTACCTTATGTCTCCCTTGACACTCAGAGCAGTCAAAAAGGAAGTTAGAATGAAGAGGAGTTAAGTTGAGTCAAGAACTAACACTACAGCACTCACGGCATTCCCATGCATGCTCTGTCGTCGTCCTCGGCAGCCAGTGCAGAGTTCCAATACTGATGGTACCGGTCACAATCTGGCTATATGTCCGTTTTGCCTCTCCTCTGAGTGTAGTGAGCAGGCCAGACCCTCTGGTTACACCCAGGTACCTCATTCTCTTCATGCTGAAAATGAAGAAGAAGAGGAAAAACAATTTCAGACTAAATAAATGAGATATGTTCTATGAAAAATAAATGTGTATAAATCACTGAAAATATGGCAGGGACATTTTTTGTTGTTGTTGATAACAGTACAGTGAGTTGCCCACTCTTTGCAGTGTGATACCATTCTTATCGCAGTGGTTGATGTATTTAAAAAAATATTATTGACTTTCATTGATGCCTCTGAAATTAAAAATTTTTATGTACAGTTTTTTCTTATTTACAAAAATATTTATCAGTAGCTTTTTGTTCAGAAAATATTTGGTGTGTGGCTTAAAAAGTAAAGTATAGGACCCTTTTCCACATTTATTTGGGCATATAGGGTTTGACATATTTTTAAATAGACCAATCGATGGTTGATGTGATCAGCATCACGCCAGCTGCATTTACTTTCCATGACTGTACCTGTTACCTATTGAAGGCTTGGTTGATCTTGAAGCCAAGGTCATCTTGTACAACAGTCTGGCTCCCTCAGAACTTGAACCTACAACCTTCGGATCTGCAGGCGCGCGTCTAGTTGCTGCACCTTGAGAGCTTCCATGTATAGCTTATTGTTCACAAAAATATTTATACATAGCTTATTGTTTACAAAAATATTTATTCATAGCTTATTGTTTACAAAAATATTTATGCAAAGCTTATTGTTTACAAAAATATCTATGCATATCTTATTGTTCCCAAAAATGTTTACGCATAGCTCATTGTTCCCAAAAATGTTTATATACCGTTTGTTGCCGTTGACAGAAATGTCTGTGTACAACTTATAGCTCTTAAAATAATTGTGTTTGTAAGGTTCAAGAACGAGAAAGGATTCGTCAAGAGGAACTGGAGTTTTTAAGGCAAAGGTATGGATCTCAGTCAGTTGGTCAACAATCACATCCACAGTGAAGGTTGACTACTCTTCAATACTTTCTGTCTGTTGCTGTGATTGTAAGCTCTTGACACATCTGTTGCTGTGATTGTAAGCTCTTGACACATCTGTTGCTGTGATTGTAAGCTCTTGACACATCTGTTGCTGTGATTGTAAGCTCTTGACACATCTGTTGCTGTGATTGTAAGCTCTTGACACATCTGTTGCTGTGATTGTAAGCTCTTGACACATCTGTTGCTGTGATTGTAAGCTCTTGACACATCTGTTGCTGTGATTGAAAGCTCTTGACACATCTGTTGCTGTTATTGTAAGCTCTTGACACATCTGTTGCTGTGATTGTAAGCTCTTGACACATCTGTTGCGGTAAATGTAAGCTCTTGACACATCTGTTGCGGTGATTGTAAGCTCTTGATACATCTGTTGCTGTGATTGTAAGCTCTTGACATATCTGTTGCTGTGATTGTAAGCTCTTGACACATCTGTTGCTGTGATTGTAAGCTCTTGACACATCTGTTGCTGTGATTGTAAGCTCTTGACACATCTGTTGCTGTGATTGTAAGCTCTTGACACATCTGTTGCTATGATTGTAAGCTCTTGACACATCTGTTGCTGTGATTGTAAGCTCTTGACACATCTGTTGCTGTTATTGTAAGCTCCTGACACATCTGTTGCTGTGATTGTAAGCTCTTGACACATCTGTTGCTGTGATTGTAAGCTCCTGACACATCTGTTGCTGTGATTGTAAGCTCTTGACACATCTGTTGCTGTGATTGTAAGCTCTTGACACATCTGTTGCTATGATTGTAAGCTCTTGACACATCTGTTGCTGTGATTGTAAGCTCTTGACACATCTGTTGCTATGATTGTAAGCTCTTGACACATCTGTTGCTGTGATTGTAAGCTCTTGACACATCTGTTGCTGTTATTGTAAGCTCCTGACACATCTGTTGCTGTGATTGTAAGCTCTTGACACATCTGTTGCTGTGATTGTAAGCTCTTGACACATCTGTTGCTGTGATTGTAAGCTCTTGACACATCTGTTGCTGTGATTGTAAGCTCTTGACACATCAGTATCAGATTTTCTGCCTGAGGGGGAGTAAACAGGTGAATTTGTTATCAGGTTGTAAAGGCACCATCAGCATGGGAACTCTTCCTTGGCTACTGAGAAAAGGGACGGAGCACGAGTGGGGATGTCCTGAGTGCAGTGATGACAATTCTTTATTCATTCAAAAGTCGAGAGATGTGAACCAGCATCATTGCATACGGTTATAAGCCATAAGTGCTCTGCCACCAGTACAGACAGCTGATAAGAAACTGTCCGCCCATGTCGCCATCCGCACGAAACCGTAGCTACAGAGATGTTCCTCCATTTACTCCAGAGTGTTAACTCTGGTACCCATTTCCTAGAGGCGTGGTGAACCCTATTGACTGCGCTAACGCGGCCCCAAATTTATTTATTCATCCGTCTCTTAATGTTTTCCTCTCACTTTTACTTCCACAAAAATGAAGCTGACTTCATTAAATATTAATTGTATCTATACACATCACTACGGTCTTATTTGTTTGTGTCTGCTGTGTTTATAACTCAACATATATTTCATTAATACAAGTTTCTTTAACCCGTTGCACTATTTCAGTGGTTAGATATTAAAGTCTGTATTCCATAGTTATTGGCTCTGGTATTTTATCATTATACTTGTTTCTTCAGTGAGGTTCCCTTGTCACGTGGAAGCGACAGGTTAAATTCTAGTATTGTAACTACATCTTTTTATTTTTATTTTGTGTAGTGTGTCTTATCTCTACTTCTTTTCTTTGCATCTCTGAGTGTCAATCAGTACATGTCAATTTGATTATTATCCTCTCACTTATATCAGTACTTTTTTTCTGCTTATCTGCCCTGAACCTTCATTTGGTAATTTTAAGTGTGTCGTGTCTATCAATGTAGCACAGTACTTGATTAAATGTTTATGTTGCTGTTATAATTAGCAACATCGAAATTGTCCCAATATGGGACGCAATTTTTAATTAAAGTCCCACTCCAACTGTTGCCGTGGGCCATAATACAACCCCTGCTGGTTGAACAGGGTTTCTAGGACCTGTTCCTAGGTGATCTTCATCCCAGTGGTGGCACTTTGTGTCACCGGGTGTTTATCATACGATGTGATGTCCTCGTGGGGTTGAATGTCAAGTCAGTTATTATAATTGGAATTTTCTAACCTGCTTCTGCACTTGGGTGCAAACATGTTCATTTGTTATCCAGACCTTGTCGGTGAGTTTCCTCGAATAGTTCATGCCAGATTAAGGAAGCATTTACTTGCATATCCCAAAATTTAATCTATGCTATCTCTGCAAAAGGTGCAAAAAGGCATAAATCGGAGACACCAGCGGAAAGCTGGCTGATCGGTTTGGTGAACATCTCTTCACTATTCACTAGGAGGCATTTAAAACGGTCTCTGTTTATTTCAATAGTTTTGACCGCAGATTTGAAAACAATTTCTCTATCACTGCCATAACATCCTGCTAACATCAAGCCACATGTTTCTCTTTAGAAAATCACTTTATTCAGAGTGTAGGTGTTCTGAGCCCAGCAGGAATCAAGTGTTCACATACATTCATCTAAACAATATAATTTTTTTCTAACTTTATAATTTTTTTTTACCTGTTATGGTTTTTTTTTTAAATGTTCATTTATTATTGATATTATTATTATTTTTATTAATATTGTTATTACTATTAGTATCACCATTAGTGTTATTGATACTATTGTTTCTATTTATAGTACTATAGTTAATTCTTTCACTCTTATTTTATTATTATTAGTATTATTATTACTATTTTTGTTCCCTTAATTTTTAAAATTTTAAATCTCTTCTTCCCATATTTTATAGTTATTCACGTGATTCCTCTGTGTGGTGACTGGTGGCCAGGATTTTCCTCCCCTTTTTTGTTATTGTGTTTGTTGATAAAGGCTCCAGCTGAAACATCAGATTCATCCTGTTTGAGTGTTTTTTTCCCCCATACCCTCTTTGTTAAGCTTCTTATTCACACTTCAGTGGATTTATTTCTTGATACTAGCTTGACTGCGGCGGTCATTCCTGTTTTCCCCACAAGGACGTAGTTACTATGAGCTGTCTGTCCTGAGCACTTGTGATGAAGAAACTGATGCAGAAAGGCTAACTAACAAAGATCCTGACCTCATAAAGATGGTATGTAGTGGTGTGAGCACTGGCCTGCGTGCATCACTACTAAGTAAAGAAAACTTTATACCAGTGGCACATTGGCCATATTGTGCTAGATTATCATTGATATTTTGATAGACCATGACACAAATTGGGTAATATGAATAACATCCTGCCAGCTGCTTTTACTTTCCAGGACATTTTCTTATACCCATTTTAGGTTTGTTAACCAAGGTTATTTTAAAAAAAGTCCTGCCACAATTTGGATTTTATCTGAAGATCTTTAGGCCAACAGACAAGCATCTAGCCACTCACTACTGCAGATCATCCCCCACATTGTCAGTGCTATCGAAGAAGGATTGCACAGTGTATACATGACATAATTATATATATATATATATATATATATATATATATATATATATATATATATATATATATATATATATATATATATATATATTGGTTTTTTAATAAATTTTTTTTTAATGTGAATGGTATGTTTTGCTAAGAAAATGTAAAACAATCTTCATACTGATCATGAACTGCTTATAGGTTGCAAAATGTTAAATTTGGGCCTTGTGTATGTGTCTTCATTTCAGGAATATAGCTCTTGATGTAGAGAAGATGACTCTGGAAAGACATGGAAAAGAAGATCAGTGGTACAGACAAAATAATGTTTTGATTGAAGCAGAAGACAGGAGAAAGAGAATGATTCAGGAGGAGGAAGCCAAATTGGCAGAACAAAGGCAACGGTGAGTAAGATATTCTGTGATAACAGTTTTTTAGTTGCTATGATAATTTGTTTTCTGCTTCTCTTCTTCTTTTTTCCCTCTTTTTAATCCTTCTCCTGCTCCCTGAGATGCCTGGTCTGTAGGTGACATTTGTGATCAAAACAAGAAATGCACTTGGTTGTTTTTATAGGATGATTACTTTGTATAATGCAGATTGAAATTGTTAATTTTTTGCTGTATTGAGTCAGTCTGTGTGAATGAGAGAGAGAGAGAGAGAGATGACATTTAACACGCGGGACTTCTGACTCTGCATGGCTACTGATTTCAAGGCCCAGTATTCCTTTGTGTGACATCAAAAAAGTGGAAGCGATAGCAAGTACGACTTTTTTGTTTTGTTGAGTACTCAAGAATTGCACTTAGCTTATTGACTTGTGGATGGTTTGCTTTACCACAGTCAGGCTCACCGTTTTGTTTTTCTTTTGGTTTTCCCAGTTATATTTCTGGCACTGCTCTTGTTTAACTGCATGTTTTTCTATACCTCTCTTTTTTTTGTTTCTTTGTCTCTCTTTGTCTGCTCACTGTAAGTGTCTATATGACTCACTGTTTGTCACTCTCCCTCCCTCTTTTCCTCCTCTTTGTTCTCTCACTATCTGTCTTGTCTCTCTCTTCCTGCATGTCCCTGCCTCTCTGTTTATTTCTCTTTCTGCTTGTCTCTCTGAGTCTCTTTTTCTGTGTATCTTTCTCCCAATCTCTTTCTCCCGGTATTCCAACAGTTGTCTTTTCTATATGCGCAACATTTGTCCCAAAAAGCACATCCGCACTGTCTCAGTTGTATTGTATAACCATTTGACTACTAATCTTCTAGCATTCTTGCCTACACATGAAAATCACACATTTCTTTTCAGTTAGCAACTTTTCAGTGCATATTCTTTAAAAAAATCTTTGAAAGAATCCTATCTTTGTGTGACATCTTCCATAAAATTTAGATGTCCAGTTTAATGTAGTCTGCATAAACAAAGTTCATGGTTTCAGATCTGCATCAAGCTGAATTTGTGTGTGTGTGCAAAACTGGCATTGACACCCAGATCAGCTCCACATATAGCAGCTAAAGTCCTGGGAAGTAAAGGTGGTCAGCCTGATGTTGACCACATTACCCATGGAGTGCCTTTTGAACTATCAAATATAGGTCTAGCACCATATATTCAGTACACCTAAGGGCATGGAGGAGTGTCCATTGCCTTATTTCCTTTACATATAGAAAGTGACTGGCCTGGACCTCTGAGGTATGAGTGTAAGGCCTTCACACATACAAGGTCATGACATCATAATATAGGCGAACCAGCTCTCATCTTCACTATTTTTTTTTCTTTCCTAGCAAGGTCTGAATTACCTGACACTCATTTTACAAAACTGGGCTAACCTGAAAACTGTACTAGGCAGAAAAGAATGTAGTCCTGCACTTTGAACCTTAGACCATTATGCCCATGAGCTTTATTACATTACATGCTGTGTCTTTTTTGTGTGTTAGATTTTAAAAGTAGTCTTTTGTATAGTCCAGTCATTGTCCAAGTTGTATGCTGATGAAGTTTTTCTGGCTGCAGTTATTCTTTTATCTTTTGTGGTTGTGTTTTATTTGGTAACTGACTTCTTTAGTTGGGTTAATTTGTTCCTGGTATTTTAGATTACTATGTTAGTTACTTGCAAAAATTAAACATAGGACACCCCCTTCCCCCCCCCCCCCCCCCCCCCAAAAAAAAACCATGGAAAAGAGTAGTTAAAAAAAATGGCGAGGACCTGGGGAGAGCAGCATGCAATATCGAAGGATAGAATAACTTGGCATGAGTTGGTTGAGGGCCAATGCTGCTTTAGGAGTTAGAAAGACAGAACAAGAATCTTAGCTGCTATAATTGTAAGGAGCTGCAACTCCAGAATTATATCAAATATCAACATCCTGTTTGGTTATGCCACCTTAAATATTATTATATTTGTGTGCCATCTCCACAGTTAGGGTTGGCTACAGTACATCCACAACTGTCTTTGGGAATATCACATGTTGAAGCCCCAGTTGATCCATTGTACAAGGTCCGACAATTAAGTAATGAGACTGGTTTTATTACGGCCAAGACAAAAGTTCCATCTATGAAGTAAAGCATAGAATCCAAATAGGCAACCTTCATCTGTGATCTGGCAACTATGATCGCAGCCCAATAAGCAGACAACAAGCAAGCCACCATTTTGCTGACGTAATCAGCATGAAGAGAAAAGCTAACTTTAAATTCTTTTTAAAACTCAGAAAAAGCACCACTGAGACCGCTGAACTGATGCGAAAAGTTTATGGGGATAATTGTTTATTTCGTGCACAGATTTTCAGGTGGTATTCAAGATTCAAAAGTGGTGTAGAAATGATTACTAATGCAACTAGACCTGGATGCCCAATTTCTGTTTGAAATGATGAACTCATTGCAAAAGTCACAGAACGGATACAAGAAGATCATTTTTTTACTGTCAGGATGATGGCAGATGAATCTGGTGTCAATAGAGAGACCATTCGTAAAATTTTAATGCAAGATTTTGTCCCAAAAAAAGTTGCTTGCAGGTTTGTACCGCATTCGTTGTCTGATGACCAAAAACATCAGCGGGTTGAGTACCCACAAGACATCATCAAAACAAGTGTGTGTTCTCAACCATCCACCCTATTCCCAAGATTTGTCTCACTGTGATTATTTTCTATTCCCAAAATTAAAGTTACCATTGAAAGGATGCTTCTTTGACGATATTGATGACATCCAAAGGGCCGTAACATCGACTTTAAGGGCCATAGCGACAGAAGAACTACAGAGGTCATTTCAGTGTTTGTTAGATCGTGCTACTCACTGTATCAATGCACAAGGGGCTTCCTTTGAATAAAATACAGGTTATATCTTCAACTGTTGATTATTTTAATTGTTATGGTATTACTCTTCATTACTTAATTGTTGGACCTTATATGTCTCGTACTGCTGCTCAAAAACCAAAATCAGTAATCATAAGGTCCTAAAGAGAACATTGCTTTCGTCATGGCTTGCCCAATAGTCTCTCTTTCTCTAGCTAATTCTCCAGCCCTATGGGCTTTCATAGTCGATGCATCTTCAGTGTGGTGTATTCACCTTTGCGGAGGTATGACTCTTGTCTCATTTTTTGCTAACTGTACCCTCCAGGCCGCCATGACATTTAGCATGGCAAACAGTACTTAAGCTTTCAGGACAGGATGCTGTTTATGAGCCTGTTCTCCTTGATGCTGAGATCATATAGGATGTTGGTTTTCTTCTTCTTCATGGTATTATTAGAATTTTAGCTTCCACTTCAAAAGCTCCAATTTTTCTCTCACTGACTGTGTAAGAGCCCATGACTCACATTCATACCTTGCCACAGGATAACCACGATAATGATCTATAAAAGAGACCTTGCATATCATCATCATCATGTGCCCTGCCGACTGGCAAAGGCCTTCATGCATCTCAACAGGTCTCGGTCCCTTGTCCTCGGGATTAGTTCCACCAATGATATCCCTCCGTGCCACAATCGCAGACCATCTGTCATCATTTCTCTCGGTCTCCGTCTCCCTGTTGTATCGTTGATTTTCCCAGTCGTAACAATATTCTTCGAAGCCTCCCCCTCAATCATCACCAAAGAACAAATCGTGTCTTTTCCTTGTAGCTGTATATATTGATCTGTTTTCATAAGCTTCCTTCAAGCAGTCCTCGTTAGTTACTCTGGCAGTCCAAGAGCCTGCACATCAGGCATTGTAAAATGCATTTACTGACCTCAAAGCCACAGAGCCCTACTATGCTGTCTACATATTACAAATTATACTTCTATTTGTTATACTTTCTTTCGGACCTTTGATGATCAAATAATTTTTTTGGTGCAGTCTTCTGGCACTGAACCGTGAGGTAAAAATGAAAGAGCTTGCCCTGCTAGAAGCAAGCAGGCTCAAATGTCTTCAGTATCAGAAGGAGCAGAGAGAAATGGAGCTCAGGCGTCTCGATGATCAGCTTCAGAAAACAGTAAGCTGCATCTTTTGTAACATTATCTGTCCATTGGTTTTATCTGCAAGTTTATTTTTTCAACTTCTACGCGTTCACCAGCTGTTAACTCCGGCAGAAAGTTCTGGTTGATCATCCATCTCTGGACTTTAGACTTGTTCCAGAACCCGAGTGTTGCGTGCACATCCATTTTACAGATCTGATTTATTTGTATGCAGACTTGGTTCCTTGCCTCTCAGGAAGATGCACTCCGACTTTGAAGGAAACCCCCAGTTAGTCGACTCTTATGACAAGCTTGTTGGGGAAGCAGTGGGTCTATTCTTGTTTTCTCCACAATAGGGCCCCAGAACCCACACGGAGAGCAAGTTTATTAATTGAGGCCAGAAATTCACTTAATGGTTTGTGTGCTGAAGATATTGCTGAAGCTTTTGTAGTCTGTGACACTGATAAAGGGGCCACTTCAGAGTACAAACACTTTTTTAACTGTCATTATTGCCTGTATTAACCAGTTTTGCTGTGTAGGCTGGGAAATCTTCGAGCCTGAGGATTTGGGGCTGCATGGCTAGTGCTGCCGTCATGGACTGTGCATGCATATTTTATTTTTACCACTGAAAAAAATCCAAAACCTTGCAGTAGCAGGGTGGCGGAACTTTTCAGAAAAAAAGGATAAAACTTACGGATTTCTCCCCATCTGGGTTAGCAGCGCCTATTTACACACTAGGTCACTTTTGATTGGTGCTTGCTCAGGCTTGTCAACTTTGCTGAAGGTTACAGGGGTGTCACTGTGTTTTCTCGAAAATCTTTCTGTGTTGTCTTCCATTTATGTTTTCTTCCCAAGAAAGAGAAATGTGTGTGGCGTATGTTGCAGCACTCTCGTAGGGAAGTTTGTGTTAGGGCTAATCCTGCAAGTTTTTTGAGTGTTGAAAGCACTGACATGCAGGAATATACAACACTGTTGGTATCACATGTTGTATATTCCTGCACTTCTATAGAGGAATCTTTTTCAGGGTAGCAGAATGCCATGCTTATCATGGCCTGCCAGAAAGTTTCTTACTCATTTGCTGTTTACATGCCTCATACACTTTTTAAATCAGAGTTTGAACTTGAATTAAAAATTGTTTCACCTAATTTTCTTCAGGCCTTGCAGTTAGACCAAGAAACAGATGCAGCCATTGAAAATGCAGAGTTCAGCAATATTAGGCTTCAGTTTGAGAAAAATTTACTTGAGCAGGTACTTTTCAGAGTGTTCCTTTTTTTTAAAATAAACTTTTATAAAATTATGTTTTGTTTGTTTGTTCATATGTTTATTTGCTTGTCTAATACAATATTTGTGTTCGATGTTTACATTATTTATAGAAAAGCCATTGAGCTGAAAGTTTGTTTAGACAAGCTTTGTGGATGACAGTGCAATGTTATGCAAAACTGTTAAGAGAATTTGTTTCTTTTATTGATAATTTTAGCTGTCAAACATATATCTTTTTCATAAAAATGTGAGCAAACAAATTAAGAAAAGTTTGGAGGCAGCTGAGATGTGGTTCTTGAGAAGAATTTTGAGAATACCTTGGACTGCCAGAATATCTAACAATGATTGCATGGAAATGGCTAATGAAAGTAGAAGATTATATACAACACTGAGAAGGAGACAAAGTTCTTTGGTCATGTGATGAGAAAAAGAGCACTGGAAAATATTGTGACGACTGGAAGGATCACTGGTAGAAGAGGCAGACCAAGAGAAATGATGGTGTATAGCTTAAGACAGTGGCATGGAGGAATATCATCAGTGGAATTATTTCAGAGCACTAAAGACCGAGATCTGTGGAGATGCATGAACGCCTATGCTAGCTTGCAAGGCACTTGATAATGATGAATAATTATGTTAGGGAAGTAATCCATACACATATTTTTTTTCAGAGGGAGATAATTTATAAGTTTACCATCAAAACATTATTGTAAATGTATTTACTATTTTCTGATAAGCTGGTAAGCTCAAATTTTAATCATATATGCTTTCTTGATAGCAAGCAGTGCATTAGCTGCAAAAAATAATTGGACACAAAATATATTTAACTGATATTTTTTTTTTAATCTTTACAGAATGCATTGGCAATTTTATATTTTAACCAATAAAAGTGTGGGGCACCTAGCTAACAGCCCCTGGCTGTTGTGTGGTTTTTCTAGGCAAATTTAAGTCCAGTAGTTTACCATTGCTTTCTGGACGGTCAGCCTTCTTGATACCACTGTCGAAATCAACGCAAAGCATATTGCCGCAGCTGGGATCGATCCCGACATTACGAAGCGTTCGCATTGACTTAGCCACAGAGCCGACCACTATTTGTATGCTGTTGTTATATATATACAGATACAATGTAATTATGTGTGTATTACTTTCAACGGCACTGCACACTTTTATTAGTCATAGAATAAAATTGTAGATGAATTATGTAAAGAGAATAATTTACATTCATGTGTCAGTTAAACTGTTTATAAATTATTTTTACAATTTAGTGCATTAATTATGTGACAAGTCTTTAATAAAAGTTAATGTTATAAAAAGTTCTTAAATATATATATATATTTTTAATTTGTTAGTCATCAATCTGTTACTGTTATTCAAATATAATAATATAAAAAGTGTAAGAAAGTGCATTTTTAAGAATGTAAGAAGACTGTAGGGCAGCAACCATATCTGATTTTAAGTAAATATGTTTATTTTATGTAACATACTTCACAGAAAATTAATACATAAGTGTAACGTTTGCAGAAAAATAATGATAAATAGGACAAGTAAAGGAACCAAGAAAAATAATCAGAAATTTTGATGAGAACAACGCACACAGCATTAAATGAATGCACCAGGTGAAGATAAATACAACTGCTAGATAACTGAAATTTAAAAGAAAATATTAATGAAAGAAATGAAAACTTGAAAGATGGGCACAATATATTAGAAAGTTTTAAGATGAATAATTATTTCAATTCCTATGCGAGGTATCATTTTTGATTTCAGCACTGAATTACCCTGTTGTTTAGATATATGGTAGTCAAGCAGGTCTCGTCTGCTGTATTTGCTTTGCCACATATTTCTGTAATTCTTAGAGCTTGAAATGTTGCTAGGACAATTGTTAAGACTCAGCTTTTTTGGGGGGAGAGGGGTTTTATTGAATGAATTTTTTTTTTAAATTGAATATATTTAAAAATTCATGCATTGGCACCCTTCCATGCCACGACAAAAGGCCATAAAGAAGTACCATCTCTTTTTGTTTTCCTCTTTTTTTGTTCCCCTAAATCTGTCCAGTTGTCACATGGTCCAGTTTTTCTCTTTTTATAATGTGGTTAAAATATGATTACTGCCGCTTTGTAATAAGTTGTCCTTGGGTCGTATCCTCTTTCAAAACATCCAGATAATTCTTTTTGGCTGACTAAGGAAATGGGAGCAGTATTCTACAAAAGCACATGGTTGAGGCTTCAGGGAAATGATTTTTGGGGCTTGTCAACTTATTTTCCAGGATTCATAACTTTATGCTAAATGAAAAGCGGTTCTGTATAGCATGCGAGAATTCTAACCTCCAAAGATAGGGATTTATTACATAAGATCGTTATAAACAATTACAAATCTATACTGATAATGACAAATTAGGGCAAGCCAAAAAGACTACCAACTTTTCAAGATTAGTTCTGTCTTATTTAAGAATCAGTGCCTGGAATGGAACTGAGTTGCAGAAAGGCAAGCCAGATCTTTGGTCAGATGTCACTGTTACTACAGAAAAAAATGTTGCAATAGATAGAAAAGAAAAGAACATTTTGCAAAACACTATTTCTAACACTCTTATGCGAACAGAGTTATATTACTTCTTTTTCTCCTTTGCATTCACCAGCAGAAACTTGTTGTTGTCCATCCACTTCTGTACTGTAGTCCTATTCCAGAACCTGATTGTTGTGTGCACATTCATTTTACAGATCTAACTCATTTGTATGCAGACTGTTGGTTCCTTGCCTCTCAGGCAAATGCACTTCGACTTTGAACAAAACTCCCAATTAGTAAACTTACGACATGCTTTTTGATAGGCATTGGGTCTATTTGTGTTTTCCCTACAATAAGGCCCTGGAACCCGCATAAGGATCATAATACATAAGAAGAGGATATTGACTCTTAAAAATATAATTGGTGCACATAGTTTCCTGGTTTTTGTGTGTTTTTTACAACCTCTTATAATATGTCTGTGATTAGGTCGATAAATGTAACAACATACAAACAATATTTGTATGCATAGAGTCCTTACGTCATACAGAGTTAAGAAACCATAACATATTAACGTATATAAATAATGATTTTAATATTTTTGATAGAAAATGGCAGGTTCTACTACAGTAAAGACAGTAATAAAAGACCTAGAAGATATAGATTTTCAGTCAATACCCACAAGTGAGGAAGGTAAGTATCTTGAATTTGTATATGTAAACATATTTATTGTATGTGTGAACTGACATCATTAGTCATGGAACATTCCCATAAGTGCTCTGTTGTAATCTTCAGCAGCAAGCACAGAGTTCCAGTTCCAATGTTACCATTAACAATCTGATTGTATGTCTGTATCGCCCCTTCCCTCCGATTGTTGAGCATTAGCCAGATCCCTTGATTGTACGTCTGTATCGCTCCTCCCCTCCGATTTTTGAGCATCAGCCAGATTCCTTGATTGTACGTCAGTATCGCCCCTCTCCTCCGATTGTTAAGCACCAGCCAGATCCTTTGATTGTACTTCTGTATCGCTCCTCCCCTCCGATTGTTGACCATTAGCCAAATCCCTTGATTGTATGTCTGTATCATCCCTCCCGTCCGATTGTTGAGCATCAGCCAGATCCCTAGATCATCCCTCGCTGCACCATTCTATTCAGACTTTGATGATCTGTTTGTGCATCAGCGCTGTTTACTCACTCCCAAAGGGCCCTTACACCATCTAGTTTGTCATGCATCATTTCTCCATCAAGCTGTGCAGAACTAACCAATCTGTCTGTCTGTTCATTTCCCAACACACTGCATGCCTTGGAGAAAACATCCAAAGGACACTAACTACCCGGGACCTCTTAAGAGGTGCTTGCCGCTCTGTATGTAGTATACCTGTCAACCTTTTTTAACATACTCAATAATTCAGTCAGAATCACATGTGTCCACTGGTTCTTGAGCTGAATTTGATGGATGGGTGTAATTGTATAGCTGGGCTTCCAGGTTGACCCAGCACATTGTGATTGTCAGGAAATGTCCTGAAAATTAAAAACAGCCTGGATGCTATTGACCACATCACCCAATGAGTGCCCATTGTCTTTAGACCAATCATCACAGGTTGATCTGATCAATACCACTCTGACCACTTTACTTCCCAGAACATTTTCCGGCACTTATTTTTTCTTCTTCTTCACATTCACCGGCTGTAAACTCTGGTGTAAGTTATAGTTGTTCATCCATTTCTAGGCTTTGGTCTTATTGTAGAACTTGAATTTTGCGTGCAGATCCATTTCACTGACCAGGCTTACTGGCTTGTTTGTACACAGACTGTTGGTACCTTGCCTCTTAGGCAGATGCACTCTGACTTCAGAGGAAACACCCATAATTAGTCACCTTCTGCTGCATGCTTGTTAGTGGATAGTAGGTATGCTCCCCCCACCCCTTTTGTAATAAGTGGTTTGTATTTCTACTCGTTGTCTAGGCAGTGTTCATGCGTGTGTGGTGGATGATATTCTCACACGCTCCACGTTACACAACTGGAACAAGCCGACACCGATGTGAGCTTACGAGACATGAATTTATTGACGTATTAAGACTTACGACAAACGAATAGTCCAGTCGGTGTCCTAGTGAACAGCTTTCGTACACAAACTCACGCAGCCTTCAACGAACATTCTTCTGCAGGCATTCAAGCAACGATGGGTCCCATGGATTCAACATTGATGTTTGGACATCTCACACGCTGGCATGGTCGATCTCAGCTTAACACTTCGTCGGCAGGTCTCCTTTCTCCTCAGGCACTCACGTAGACATTCTCACACTCAGTCGCTCGTCCTCTCACTCCAACAGGTCGACACAAACTAAACTTGACCAGAGTCAAGTCTGACTTATACCACGGGTTCGTTTCACGTGACAACACGTGGTGGTCCTTTACTTTTCCCGTGGCGACCTTGGGTCGCATCACCGTGGTCCCCGTGATAACTAGTGGTTAGTCACCTATCTGCAGATTCTCGTTTAATCCAAGTATCTGGACTATCTCGGTGTTTTCGGTCAGCTTTGGGCCTTCCCCCCAACCATCCTAAACTGGGTCGAAAATATCCCCCATTACATTTTTCCTTTTTTCCCCCCAAGCCCAAGAAATCTGTGCAGTTTTGGTAAAGTATTACTTTTTATTTTTTTATTTTCCAAAACTACAGTTTTCAAATGATTTCAATGTTCAGATGTGATTTTCTTGAAACAATGATTTAGCACTTAGTTGACTTTAGTGCACTGCCAACGATATTATGTGGTTGCAAGGGATTTTCTGAATTGTTTTCTTCTATGGTTCATGCTCTTATGTTAAAACTAGTTCTCTACCACACATGCAGTCAGCAGATTAGTGAGAATTTATTGGGAAGCTATCCCTGTGTGGTTCCGGGGCACTACTGTGGGAAGGGGGGGGGGGGGTATAGACCCACTGCACAAGCATCATGCCTCACAAGGTAACTCATTAAGAAAATATCCTTCAAAGCTGAGTGTATCTTCCTGAGAGGTGGAGAACCTGCAGACTGCATTTAGATTAGCCAGTTTTTTAAAACAGATGTGCATGCAAAACTAAACTCCTGGAAGAAGACCCATATCCAGAAGTGGATAACGACCAGAACTTTCCGCTGGAGTTTACAGCTGGTGAACCTGAAGAAGAAGAAGAATTAGGAAGTACTAATGTGTTGTTTATAGAATAATGCTGACATCGCCATGGACAGATAAGAAGATGTGCAATAAAGATTCTTGAAAGAAATTAACTCACAAAGAGAACTGGTGTTTCCTAACAACTGGGCAATTCACATTCTTTGGGTGTTCATTTTATGGCATGGGAGATATCTGTATCAGGAGTAGTTGACAGAACATGTAACAGGAGGTTGTGGACAAGAGGATCAACACCAGTATGTCATGGACTTAACTGTGTCAGTACTACGTGCATATTTCATGGGCAGTTCAAGTGATGAGGACCAATCTTTCTGTCATCCGTCCTGAAACTGTAGTTGATTTTCTATGAGCCAAGAGGTGAAATATAACACGGACCCGGAATGATCTAAGACAATGAAGGCAGGGAACAGTGTATGTAGATGAAGGCCTGGTATACAGGTCTTTCTGTCCTGTCTTTACTGTTCAGCTGCCCTTTTTCTTGATGCATAGCAAATCACTTTGGATAGATGTTTGCCCCATCTGGTGCAGCGGCCTTCTGGTTGTCAGGGTTTATACTGAAAGCTTTGAGTGATGCCATAGACAAATGTTACATTAACCCTTTTTATCTCCTCAGTTATAAGTTTCATTCACTACTTCTGTTGCATGGTTCTCTCATGCAAAGAGGAGGAGGGAAAAAAAAAAGGGGGGGGGGGGGGGGTGGAGACGCTTGGGATTAAAAGATTTGAGGAAAACACCACTTTAAGAAAAGTAACTTTTTTGTTTAATAACCACAAACATGAATGCATTATTTCTACCACTATTTTTATTTTTTTAATTATTAAGTTGCATTTTAAAAAGTCAGTATTTGATTTTGTTGTTGTTGCTTATTTCAGTATCATTTGAGAGGGAGAGGTATACCACAGATAATAAAGACATATTATTGTTGCATGAAGTGAGATTACTTCGACAAAAACTGGCCACAGAGAGCAGGGCCAAGCGACAAGCACTTCCTGTTGCCTTTGAAACTGATTGACTGACTATAACAGAAAAATATGCCTACTTTTATTGAAATGGTCTGTTACAATTTAAAATGTTTCTTAATATAATATGCTAAATAAGGGGTTTTCAGAGTTGAAATGGTCAGCCTCTTTGCACTGGGTTTTATCCCTACAGCTTGGTTTCTCTCTTCAGACACCCTGGCCACCTGAGAGTGTAGTACAAAACACAGACTCTGTGGCTCCAGCAGTGATCCAGAGGGTTCTCATGAAAAATGACACTAATGAACCAAATAGTGCATTCCAAAACCTCAGAGTTGTGAGGCATATTGCTTCGTCACCTAGCCATGGAAAGATCCATATAATATAATATATTCATTTATTTGAGGTATGTTATGTTGCCACTGATAACGTTTTTTTCCCCTCATACTGCTATTGAAATTAGTTTCTTTTTTTTTTTTTTCAGTGTGTTGGTAATTTTGAAAATTATGTTTTTAATTGGAGTTCAGAATTGAGAAAACAGAGATAATGATATGACTAGAATCTCATCTCCATAGAACCAACAAGGCAGAAGAGATAGATAGAGATCTAAACACACATGGAGGAGATAATTAGAGAGAGAAGTCATTTTCGTAGCTAGAACCTAGAGTGTGCTGCGTGAGATGGCAAATGATAGGATAGTTTTAAATCTTCTGTTGAGGGCCTGTTTTGCAATGAGAGATGAAGGGTAGCAGGGGGGGAAAAGGTGGAAGATCTCTGGAAATGACTTCAAATCTACAATAAGTGTGTTTTTCTAGTATACATAGAGTTCGCTTGACCCAAAAAAATGGTAACTGTAAGTACCTGACAACTTGCTATGTATTTAATAGTTTACCAGTATATGTAGACAGTTATAACATCTTCTGTAAAAATTCGTTGGGTGCAGGATTGCAGTTTATCCAAAGTACTATAACAAGTAATGTCCTAATTGTGTTAATTTTAAAAAAACACTATTTGAGACTCACAGACTGATATTCTAAAGCAGTAGTTCTCAACCTTCCTAATGCGGCGACCCTCTAATACAGTTCCTTATGTTGTGGCGACCTCCAACCATACAGTTAGTTTTCTTGCTACTTCATAACTTCAGTGAATATATGTTATCCTATAGTCTTTGGCGACCCCTGTGAAAGGGCCATTCAACCCACAAAAGGACCTACAGGTTCAGAACCGCTGTTCTAAAGTATGACTGAGATTGAGTGAGTTGGAGGCACAACTGTCCTTGACTGAAAGAGTAGGGAAATAATGGTGGACTTGGGCTGTAATCAGCTGTCAGGTGAAGACAATGACAACGTACAAGAAAACACAAAATTAGAATACTGCAGACACAAACAATACACTACACTACATTTTATTGCCTGGCATATTTTGCTGTATTTCATTAGATGTGTTACTATATAGTTATATCAACATATAATGAATTTAAAAAAAAATAAAAACTCTTTTTTGCTGAAATATATAAATTGAATTATCAAGTTAGACAACATCTGTCCACCTGTCAAATTCAAGATCAGCCTTGGGATTACCATGGTAACTTCAAATTTATCAGGTGATATTTTTGTTTACATGAAACAGTATAGTTTAGTTTTATTGATGCAGCCTCAGCTAGTTTTAGTAAAGATCTATTCAGTGAACTCTAAAATAATTGAATGAATCCTGTCAAAACCCTTTTAAAATGGTTGCATGGTAGAATGTGGCTCATAGCAGGTATGACGCTAATAAAAAATATCACCACTTTGACGACTGGAAAGTGACTCTTTTTCAGGTGTTGACGCAGTGAATAATTAAGTAGTAGTTTTAAGATAGGAACCGACTAAGACAAATATATAATTACTCACTATTTGATAAATTGTGCGAATTGATTGCTAATATATATACTAACTTCAGGAAAGACTAATCTAGCCAACTAATGCCTGAAGGATTCTGATTTATCTGCCAGAAGCAACACGCATTGAAGTTCTGTGACAAACAGGCACAACAAAATTATATTCAGAGCAAAAAATATTGGAAGAAGAAAATCCTTTTTTCAGGTTCAAACATGTCCATTCTTCTGATGTTGGTTCACCATTAAAAAACAAACTGAGTTCAGTTCAAATTATATATTCAGCTTAGCAACAGAGACTTGAGTTTTCCTACACTCTGGATGGCAAATATGGACTGTAAATCTGTGTAGGACCAGATATGGCAACAGCCGCTATGTCGCAGGTGAATAAGATGTGGAAGAGCAAAATCAGCATCGCAGTGGAAGTCAATATTTACAAATCACTGGTGTTATCTGTTTTCTTATACGGATGTGAGGGTTGGACTCTCACTGTGGAAAAAGAAAGGAGGATTCGGGCTTTCAAATCTAAATGCTACAGACGCATTTTACAAATTAGTTATTTAGAACACAAAACTAATAAATATGTTAAACATAAAATATACAAAGTTGCGGGACATCAGGAGCCTCTCTTGGCAGTGGGGAAACATCGCAAGCTAGCTTGGTTTGGGCACGTAGTGAGACATGATTTGATTGCAGGAACATTGGGGGTAGTTGAAGAAGAGGAGGGCAAAGAAGAACCTGGAATGACAACATCAAGAAATAGACAGGACCAAGTTTTCATTCACTTATTCATCAAGCAGAAGCCAGAGAAAGATGGCAGGTTTATTGTGCTAGTGCTTCCATCAATACATCTCCACGACCCTAATGGGTCAAGGGTTATGTTATGTTATAGGACCGGATACGTTAACAATAATATATGATAAACTAGTACAATTGCTGACGGTATTTCTCAATAAACGTAATGTCTTTGTGTATAGTTTTGTCCTTCTTTAAAATTCCATTACTAATCATTCTTTCATTTGTGAACTAATAACATTGCTGATGATATTTCTTCATTCATTTAATGTCTTGTATGTGTATTAAAGTCGTGGGTTCTCTACGTAGCAGAGGCAGACTTTTTTCAAAAATGACCTTGGCTCCCAGGTCGACCCAGCCTTGAGTGGGTACCGGGTGCAGTCCTGGGAAAGTAAAGGCGGCCGGCGTGATGATGACTACATCACCCATCTTGTGCCGATTGGTCTATAAAAATATAGGTCTAGACCTATATGCCCTATACGCCTAAAGGCATGGAAAAGGGTCCTTTACTTACTTACCTTTATGTTTATTAAAAACTTGACAGGGGAGGAAAACAACAGGCAGCTTCATATCATCAGAAGTGACTCTCCCTTCTGTGAATTTTTGGGCCTATTACACTTCTTCAAATGTATGTCCTGTTTGTAAATTTCCTTTTTAATCATTCCTACATGTGTAATTGCTGAGGAAGAGTTTCCATTATGTTAGTGTCTTGTATATATAGTTGCCCTGTTTGTATGTTCATTTATTAATCATTCTTACATGAATGAGAATCAAGTATAATTCCTGATGAAATTTCTCTGTTATGATAAATATATAGATTTGTCCTGTTTGTTAGTTTCTTTAGTAATTATTCTGAAATATATGTGTACTTTTTCATTTTAATCATATGTACTAAAATGTATATAAATTAGTTTTAATAAATAACTTATTTTTTTTAATTGCTTTGTTTTAATTATTTAGTTTCTGTTTTGAGTGTCTGTATTTCTAATACTCAGGCCTGGGGATGGCAGCAAAGTATTTCTCTTGCAATATTTTGCTTTCCTACAATGAAAAATACTTCTCTTGATATATTTTTAGACACATTTATTTTCTACCTCAGAATATTCAAATGTTCTCACTCTAGTTATGTTTGGATATATTTTAAAGATTTTAATCTGGCAACAGCACAAGCTCAAATCTTCATTTTAGTAAAGTAAAAGCCCTTATTATTTTTCTTCTGCTTTTTATCCCCAGTGGAGCATAGGCCCTCAGTCTACTCATGCCCAGTTGTTCTATCCTCTGCTGTTGCATGCAGCTCACCCCATGTCATCTCTATATTATTTAACTGCACCCTTGAGCTCTCTTCTCCATGTGTTTTTTAGTCTGCTTTTATTTCTATGCTCCTGTGGTTCCAGTGCAAAAACATTCTAGGTATACTGTTCTCCGGTTTTCTGAACATATGTCCAATCCAATGCTAGTGTCTTTTCTTCATCTCTCGATTCACTGGAATATTTTGTTTAGTTCTCTCCTAAAGCTCTACATCTGGGATTCTATCACAACATTAATTTCCCTCTATTCTGTACAGATGTCATTAAATGAATGTTTGTAGTTTATTAGTAGCTGCTCTAGCTGTTCTCCATGTTTTCGCTCCATACAGCAGTACCAATTTGATGTTAGAATTAAAAATGTTATGTTTAGTATTAGTTTTCATTGTAGTTAGAATACAACTGAGAAAAATGAACCCCTTCATAGTAACAACTGGAGTAAGACAGGGATGTATCTTATCACTACTGCTATTTATCACCTACATCAACATATGCAAGGATGCCAAGCCCAGGAACAACAATTTGAGTAATGTCAACAAATCACTCTTTGCTGATGACTGGCCTTCATGGCAGATACAGCCATGATATCGCCAAAACATCTCACATCCTTTAATGAAGAATGTGAGACAAAAGATATGAGAATCAGTACTGAAAAGACAGAAGTAATGTCAATAGGAAGAAAGAAGCAGAACCAATGTACAGAAGTGGCATGCAAAGGCATTTAAGTGAACATTTGAATTTAAATATCTGGGAACGACATTCAACACAGAAATGGTAAACTGGCTGAAGAAATTAACATCCGATGGAGTAAAGTAGACCAAGTATTGGGACCATTAGCGCCCCCTGCCGCCTTTCCAATCCCCTCTGACAACATAGAACAATCCAGATCGGCACAAAGAAACATCCCTTCATCATCATCAGGTACCTTGCTGACTGGCATGGGCGATCATGCCTCTCCACAATCTGCGATCTCCTGCAGCATGTATCAGTTCGTGTGCTGCCATACATCCATGCCATGCAACAAGACTGTCAAGAATTCTCTTGTTGTCTTCCTCTATCCCTCATTCCATAGATTTTTTCA